CATTTTGAATAATGCATGGATAAATAACGAACAAATTCTTCGTAAAATTCTACCTAAAAAAATATTCCTCAACATTCAACTCCAGTAACCAAATATGTAAATACATATTCTATGTACATCTTTAATACGAATAACAAACTGAATTTATGAAGGGGTATGGTTCCAGTGAATCTTATCAACCCTACTATTGATATAGTACTATCATAGACTAAACAGTAGCAACAGTTGGACAGTTCTATTATGTACTGTATACGGTACTGTGTGGTTCCGATTGTTAAACTGACCTCCTAACTGGTGTGATGGTTGTTGGGGGTATATTCAGCAAAGGGTCTGAAGTCACAAGAAGCTACTTACAATTGTATTTACAAGCACAGAATAACAGAGTCTTAGATATGGCAGGGGTGGCCACTGAGAGTTCGTACAAGCCCCTGGGCTGAGGGTTAGAGCTCACTTTCTTTGGGGAGTCTAACACTTTCATTTTCTATTTAGGCGAGACCAATTTTATTTCTTGTTTTACGGATCCGCCGGTCGTATTTATTCAATAATAAGAAAAAAAAATAAAAAATGATTTTCCCCACTCAAAAAACGAAATCCTAATGTTATTATTGGCCAAAAATGTAAACTTACAAGAAAAAATTGTTTGATTGTTTTTTGCCCCATATACGTTTAAGATTCAGAAGGAATATTACTTTGAATGATGATTTTCTTTCTTGCCTTTAGGTTTTCTGAGGACAAAAATCTGTAAAACAATAAATAAAATTGGTCTGGCCATATTTAACATTGAAACAATAAACAGATAAAAGTTAGTTGAAGACACAATCTCATTACTGGGTGTACAGTACAATACCCAATAATAAATGAAATGATAAGACAGACAGGATCAGAGTATTCAATCTTGCTAATTGAACTGACACTAATCTTGTTTGTACACTCACTTGACGCTTGGAAGATTATGGTATTACAACAGATGAGCTCACAGTGGTCTAAATCTTAATGAGCCTAAATTGAACTACTAGCCTAACTGTTACCATCGGAGGTGATGACAGGTGTACTTCTGTAAACAGATTAATAAGGCAATATGTTAAACTATTACATTGTCTTATCAAAAAGTTTGTCTCTGAGATGAGGTTTTGTTACCTTATGTGAGGATTTATCTAAACACATATAGATGTGGTATTTAACTAAATTCCAGATGACAGGTTTTCTTTATAAAATAGATTAAGGCCTAATTTCTAAATCTTAGTATATCGCTTGTTGTGGTAATAATAATAATGACATTTTTATGAATATTTTATAAACTATTTTACGAGTAAGGTTAAAAATCTAATAATCAATTTTTTGTACCATGACATGGACCATAAACATACAAAAAACAAATAATATTCTAATTTTTTTTAAATATCTCTTTTGAATGGTAAACAAATCATATCTGAGAAGTACACAATGTTAGCAAGATAAATGCATGAAAAAACTTTTTTTAAATTATTTGGTTCAACAATCCCCCACTCCAATATTTCACATTTTGAGAATCCTAGTAAGAGTAAAAGTACCGATAACCACTGAGGTTGTTAAATTCTTTTTAATTAAGAAAAGATGAAATCATGACAAACTTGCTTAAGTTTCACCAAAGTTTAAACTAAGTCTGTTCTCTACCACTCAAGCTCTGACAATAGATTTAAAATGTGTATGCTGTTAAATGAGCCCCTTTGTTTCAGCCCCTTATCACAGCAAATATGGTACATTAGTTTGGTGTATATATCGCATACACAGCATAACAAGACTCAGGCAGAAATTGAATTTAAAGGTCACATGCAACGTAAAACACAACTTTGCAGATTCTGATACCTTTCGGTATGGACTTACCGAAACAAATCATCAAAAATGCAAATTCAACTTATAAAGTTGAAAAAACCCGCGATGAAAAAAACCCGCGTGAAATCGGAGTTCAAACGATTCACTAATTTTCCCCCAGCACCTGGGGGAAAGTGGTTTCAACAGCTAGGCTGCGCTGCGCTCATAGCACATGCGCAGTGAAAAAGGTTCGCGCAGCTAGGAAGTGGGTTGTCCGGTGAAAAATAAAGTTGGTTTTGCAGCTTCAGCTAAAAAAAATACTTTATCTCCACACAAAATCATGGGCCCCAACCTCAGAATAAGAAGTTCTCAGTCCCCAAAGACTATCAGCTGGGGATTTACAGGCGCTTCAGGCAATAACCGAGTTTGCACCTGGGCGACCAATGACAGCTTGGAACAGGTCCAGAACAGCTCAGGTCACATGACTAGGATTATGTAACACTTAAACAATGTCCCAGTTGACATTACTGCTTTGGATTGCTGACAGTTAAAACATACAACATGAATACAGGATTACTGGCTGCACGTTACAGGTAAGAAGATTACCTGTAGCAACTGGTTCGTTGTAACTTTGGGAACAGTATATTTTCAAAATGTTTTAACAGGTGAAACTGAACAATCAGTTCTTCACACAAGTAAAGCTGTAAAATTATTTTAACAACTGTCAAATATGGCTGTGTTTTGCTACAACTAACATTGCTCAAGCCATTATTACCATGGTTACTTCTTAGTCAGTACCCTGTCAGTGCGTGTGTGCAGATGTAGACCTGTGTGAATTATCAGGGCCCAAAGAAGATCAAAGTTATCTAGAGGTTATACTTTCATCATGGAAATCAGGTACTAGTGTGTAAACATTTGAAATACATGAAACTTGCACATGACCACTTAAATTAATAATTGTCTTAAACTGATTTAGGCAGATGGACCATGACTGCACCATGATTATTCAGAAGTATTGACGAATACAATGCAGTTGCTCACACTTGAAATATTTGGGTTTGAAACCAGTGGTTGTCATTATAAGTGGTGACAAGTCACGTTGCTCATTATGTCCCTGTCTGACCATGTTTTTTTCATGGGTAATTGTATTTGCGTCAAAGAATTTTGGATTTCAAATTGGTTTCTGGTTAAAGATTGTTTGGATGTCAACTATTAGATCAGTAAGAAGAAACTCCTAAACAAAACTCCTATTATTGACAAAACAAAGAAGTTGATATCCAAAGGGTAATTGACTGATGTTCATCACTTCGAAGGGACCGTTCATAATTTGTGTGGGTGCGATATGATGTTTTTTTGTTTCGGGGAGGTAGGCGGGTCATCCATTTTGATATGTACATTTTGGCTATGTAATTTAGGAGGTTCCTTCAAAATGGGAATCAAAAAACCAAAATGTCGTAAGTCAAAAATTATACGAGCAACTGAAATAACACCGATTTCGCAGTGAAACTAAAGACAACCAGTAACCTGACCTGACTAAGTCTAGAGCGGGCGACAGCCGAGTTAGTGACTGTCACAGGCTGCATTTGACAGAACATCCTAATCTGGAGTCCGCCAAATGATATAAGCTATTGTCACCACATGCAGCTCAACAATTGCGTTCATGCGTATTAATCTCCATTTCACCATGTATGGAAGATTCACAGAATGTAAAGGACAAGCTGTATATCTCGCACTGAGTATTAGGTTACCTACCCTTTCGACATACAACTCCGCTGTCAGAGCCGGTGCCCGATTCACAAACCCTTTGAAATGTACATGTGCTATATTCCAAAAGGCTGTCTTTTACACGATATATGAGGAACAACCGTCTGTTGATCATGATCGAGGACATGTTGGAGAACGCGATGACTACGCGTTAATTGCTTATGGTAATTCATCACATAATTTCCTATTTATATTATATTTCCAAATTAACATTTGCAATGCTGGTAGTGGCATAGTTTTTTGGTTATTTCTCTTTTCAATTATTTTGTGCATTCACACGTTCCGATCTAGAGACACAATGTGTCAAATGTGTATCTTTATTCCAGATTGCTATTTGTGTTCAGTAGTCTGTGCGAAAGATGTTTTCTCCAAACTGCAAAATATATATTGAATGGAAACAGTCACACGTGCAATATGTCATAAATTCGTTATAGTTTTCCCGAGTTTTCCAGACTCGATTATTTACAGACCGCCGCCATATAGCTGGAATATTGCTGAGTGCGTGAGTGCGGCGTAAAACAAAACTCATTCACTCCAGATCGATGCTCATTGTATCAATCACGGGATTGTCAGTTACAGACACGATTATTAACAGGTGAATTATTGCTGAGTGCCGCATGAGACAAACACCAATGAAACATATTAGTAACGTGAAAACTAATTTAATACCAGTGGCATGTATTGTAGTGAACTATATCACATGGACAGGTTTAACAAGTAAGTTATTTCTTCTGCCACAGTATTTGATCACACTTATTTACGGGGTAAATCTTAAAGAGGATCCGTGAAAAGATTAATCTTTTTTAAATGTATTACATTTCCAAGATTATTTGGTCAGTACAGAATAATATGTATTGAGAATGTACTCAGAACGCCCACAAAGTTGAAACAGGCAGAAACAAGTTAAAAATTAATTTAAAATTTAACAGCTCAAATTTAGCAGCATTCAGAAAACTATTTAAGTGTGTTAAAACATGATAATGTTTTAACCTGAAATAAAATCCTTGAAAAGTGTGGTGTACCTTACACAATCTGCTCGGAAAAGATGCTGATGACACTGTAACATTGTGTTCAGTCGGAACTACTTCACACTGACTGAACATTAAAAGTTATATGTAATTTGATTTTATGTTAAGATGTATTAATTAACTTAGGGAGCGCCCAATTCCGTGTCAATGAACTGTAACTGAGCCCCAAGTGGTTTCGCCACGATGGATGTTCAACCTAAATATCAAATGTCACGTTCCCGGGCCGACACCAATAGAAACTTGACACCCATTGACTGCCATGCCATCGAACTAATTGTCTATTCCGAGTAGGTAGTTTGATGCATTGTATAACTTTATAACCATCGGTGACAGATTGTTAGATGAACACCGCATGATGCGTCTTCACGCATTAATGACCTTAGTTGATTGAAGCAGTGCTTAGGAAGCTACAACCCCTGTTATCAAGTCACGTGACCTTATTGCTCTACGGCCATCTTGGTTGTGTGCTTTCGTGTGCAAGCTGGTAAAATTGGCAAGGTAACTTTGCTGGCACAATCTTAGGGTCTAATAATCATTGTTTCTATGTCTGACAATATCAATTTATTAATTAAACACTGTATAACCCTATCCCATCATAGTTTTATGCCCATTTGTCGCTTGACATCTGGTACCGTTACAAACCACGACGATTTGCATACTTACCATCTGTAAGTGTAAATATTTTACTTATTGCACATACCTAGCGATTGACAGTTATTTTTCTTCATTAATGTCAAATTATGTTTGTATTTCCACCTTATGCACCGTTGCCCTGAGACACACGAATCGGATATAGATGGAGTAGTAATGAATATTTTTGCGCATCATGTGTCTTCTGTCTCACAATTTCACTCCCTAAGAATTTGCCATGCTTGCAAAACAATATTTTCACAAGGTTGCGTGGTGACATATCGTTGTTTTTATGTCACATCCCGTGTAAAGTAAGTTACATCATCGTGTAATGTTAAGTAGCCTGACAAAGCATAAATACGGAACTTGAAAGTTAATCATTATGCATTTCAATGACAAAGTGTCACAATGATTATAAACAAAACATTTTTCCTTTAATCTTACTGCAATAGAGACTGCAGTAGGATAATAGATGGCATAGTTAACGCACATGATATCTCCACGCAAAATCTGCACAGATTTCAGGAAAGTTCCATATATCCTTGAATGTTTCCTTATTATTAGCAGCTGTTGTCAACTGTGTTTAAGTAACTGACCACGGTAAGACTTCCACCCATATCCCCCCTAAATTTTAACGATGAGGACAAATCTCTTTGAGTGGCATTTTTAGAAGTTGGATATGTCTTTCAGTATGTTCAGATATAATTAAAGAACCATGTTAAAACTCATCCTTATCAGATGAGGAATTACCGGTATATACTCAGGTGATATTATTTGACTAGAATGAAATTTAAGGGGGGATACGGGTGGAAAAGCAAAGAAATTATTTACTTAAACATGTCAATGGGTTTAATTGCATATATGGCATTATTTAACCCAAAACTGTTTACACATAGTTACAGTAGAGGTACAGAGTACTTCATACTTCAAGCCCACAGTTATGTAAATAAAGATAAATATCTTCTCATTAATGTGGATACAGATAGTGGAGCTAACCAAGTCTCTGCATAATAAGGACGCTAGAGTCATTGAAAAGTTATAAACCTATGTTTACTGGAAGAAAATATGAAAGATTTTCTAATCTGGAGCATATGTCATGCATGTGTTCACTGTTATATGGCTTTTTAAACCAACAAATTATTTATAAAATATGAAGAAAGCAGAAGTGTGAAACATTCATAACAAGCCAATGTCACTGATGTCAAGTGTGATATAATCATGTAGTATCGTTAGGTAAAATATTGATTAATAATAATATTGTGTTGTCTGTCTAATCATGCTAAACTGTTTTAAATCAGTTTATGCATACTATAAGGTCATGATTACTGGGTGCAAGATGGCCCTGTCCTTTTGTTTTAGTCATAGTTTTCCAACACAGATGTCATAGTTGTTTCATCCAGATTCAGATACAACAATGCAGCTTATTTCGATGTATAAATTTGACTTCCTTGAATTGTCTTGTTATGGGTTCTGTAACGTTCAAAATAAGGTGAAATGGCAAACAATATGGTTATCGTTGTCAGCCAAGACATACGTTAGTAGAAGAATTGTGTTGACTTTACTGTCTATTATCATGATAATGTGACTTATCTCTGACTGGGCTTCAAGAGCTATAATAAAAACACAGGTTTTTTCCCAGTTCACATTTCCCTCTAGGTCAATACAAACAGCGCTTAGTGTGGAATTCAGTTTGAGGTTCTAGGTTCATGGCAGGGGTGGAAATAACTGGTCCGAAATAACCCATTGCTCGACGTCCCAGTCCAGTGACGGTGTACCAATGTCCAGTTGACTTTCCAATGTTAGTTATGTTGCTTATTTAAAAAATCATGAAAATCTGCCGGTATAGTGGAAAAATTATCAGGGTAAGTGATTTTACATGTGCCACTGTACCGGAGTACAGTAGCAATTTTAAAGTTATTTCCACCCATGCATGGAGACAGTATTACATGGAAGGTAAACCCTGTGATTTATCCTTATAAGGCTGACAGGTCCATGCTGTCAAGTTTGTTTCAGTATCATTTTCCTCTTTTGAATGGGAAGGAGGGACTTTAAAACACATACACATACACACGCATGCACGTCGTCATATGAGCGAAATATTCTCAAGCACGACATTAAACCCAATTTCACCTCACCTCACCTCATGGGATGCATAAGTATGCCTGTTTGAATCACGAAATTAGCTGTATTTGTGGTGGCATCTCAAAAATTGTACTTTCTAATTCCATTTAACATTTCTCACACACTATGTGTATATGTTTCAAAACAAGGAATGCTGGTTCATATTTGGTTTATCATGTTACACCGGTAGGGCAGCCAAATGATTAAAGCGTTTGCTAGTCATTCCAAAGTCCCAGGTTCGATTCCCCACATAGTTTCATTGTGTGATGCCTATTTTTGGTGTCCCCTGCTGTGATATTGCTGGAATATTGCTAAAAGTGGTGTAAAACCCAACTCGCTCACTGTCACAGGTATCACTTGTCATCATATTGAGATCACTGAAGTCCTCATCTTGTTTCAAATTGTATGCACAGTGTGTCGTCAGTGTTGGATTGATGCTTATCAGTAGCATTTTAATGTAATCAAGTCGTACTGATGTGTACATGGTGCATATACGTGATGATGGATGCTAACAGAGGTATTTCTGTATCAGATTAATTATAATGAATGCTTTTTATTTTTCAGCTATTCAACAAACATTAAAATGGCAGATACTCTCAAATTTGGCCCTGAATGGTAAGTGCATGCAAATAGTTTATATCTGTAACTATGGTAACCTATGTCCTCATTGAATGCAGACATTTTTACATGTGTTTCATAAAGATAGTATTAAATAATGTCAAAGCTACCATGAAATGTTTAAACATGTTGTAAAAGGACATTTTCTGGGACAGTAGTCATTATTTGCATAAATGATTAATGAAGAATGTGATTGGACATTGTGGATAATATAGACATGGTGCATAAATAAGGGGCAAGTATGCTAACTTTGAATGAGTACTTCCCTATAACATTTAATGATCAGCCACACAATATTGGTAAACCAGAGTAAAAAACTGAAAGTCAATTCACTGGAGTTGTCATCTGCTGTAGAAGCTGCATACCACAATGTGCAAAACTAAGCAAGGAGTCCAGGTGTCCTTTTCAGAACCCTACTGCCAGTCTGTGGTTGATTGGTAGACCTTTCCAGTTTCATTGTAGACGTTCTAACACCATTTTGGGGCTTTGAGGGGTTGGGATTAAACTTGAATTTTAATATCAATTCTAAGATGGTTCGGTGAAAGATCAAAGGCGCCGACAGTACCTTATCAGACCATAATGTGCACTTTTTGCATTACGTCACAATGCAATGCCATTCTAGTCTGCCCCCTCGTAATCGAACAATTTTGCATTACGTCACAATGTAACCGACGTCACGATGCATGTCAGTTGTCATCGCCTCGTACAGCCTCCTACAGTAAACTACTCCGTTGCATCCCGTTTCCTGGTTTGCAATTGCTTCACGCAGCTAACGTCACTGGTGGAAACATTACGTTTATGTTTTGCGAAGTTTAAAATGTCTCAATTCGACTCAGAAGTTTTCAGCGACACGGTAACGTTTGCAATGTTTACATTCCCACAATGCAATCGTAGAATGTCGCTTGACTATTCAGCTTCATCTGGACGTAATGATCTAAACTTACGTTGATAGTAGAAATGCGACGTTCATATTGCCCCACATGGTTTTCGTTGATCACAGATGTAATAAAAATAATTTAGAGAAGATATTTAATCCACGTAAACCGTCATTAAACTGTTTATCTTTTTTTTTCTGGTAACGTTCGTCTAAACGTAGGGGGGCAGACACATCAATAGAACAGCGCGCCAGTTAGTCCTGTGCGAGGATTCTTAATTTAGGTCACCGACACTGTTGTTTGTTTTCTGCCTTAGAATAATCGTAATTATCCTTAGAAAGTATTAAATTTGGCATCTTAGAAAAGAAATACAGTTCACTCTACCACCATGTATAGTGTAATAAGCACACTTTCGTTTGCGTCTGAGTTCTTTAACATTATAATAGTTCAGGGCGAAAGTGTGTTTTATTACACTATACATGGTAGTAGAGTGAACTGTATTTCTTAATCCAGCAGTTGATGAAGTTCTGGAGACAATGTTTCAGTTTGAGACATGTTATATTCAGTGGTTTCACATTAATTTTCAACTTGCTGTGCACATGCGTAGAGTGTGTGTGTAAAAGAAATCCACTGGCCTAGTTACGGTTTGGTCGTATGTTTACAGATAGTGTAAACACACGCTAAAGAAAGCAAAATTCAAAACAAATATATAGTTTTATGTCGAATGCATCTGATCTCAATTCATTTATGAAGCAAAGGCGGGGATTAGTTAAATAAATAGCTTAATTTATGTTAACATTCTCTTGTCCCCTGTAGCAACAGCCGTCCTTGTGTACGTACGTATGTCCCAATTCTTGTTCACGCGATATCTCATGAACTGTACCCAATATCTTCAAATTTGTTGACAGCCTACATTGGGGGGGTTATGCAGACACCAGTCGATAAGGTGACCTTGACCTTATTTCAAGGTCACCATGACACTTTGACCACTTTTCAAACTCTTTTTAACGCGACTTCTCATGGACTGTTGTACCCAATGTCTTCAAATTTGGAGACAGCCTACATTAGGGGATTATGCAGACACCAGTTGATTTGGGTGACCTTGACCTTAAGGTCGCCACGACACTTTGACCGCTTTTCAAACTTGTTTAAACGCGATATCTCATAAAACATTGCACCCAATGTTTTCAATTATGTTGACAGCCTACATTGGGTGATTATGCAGACACCAGTCATTTCAGGCATCTTGTATGTGACCCAAAAATAAAAAGTTGTAAATAGTTGTAAATATCAGTGGATTTTAGCCATTCATTTAGCTGACAAACCGGGTTAAATGCAACTCATTGACTCATGGTGGGATAATCTTGAAGGAAAAGTGCTCTTCAAATCACATGTTCCTTGATGTATGATTTATTTGCGTCACTGTCATCATGATTATACTTAACTTTGACATTGACATATCAGTGACAAACACATCTCACCAGCACCGTCTTTCCCACACATCCCCTTCTCACAACTAAAAAACCCCACATCTCTAAGGCAATTGCAACCAAAATAGGACATCATTTATTGAAAACCGTAGACAAATGGAAGTATGTACTCAGCTATTAGCTGTTGTCACATGGAAATAATCTTAGTAAGAGCTTTTCTTTAGAATGTGTTTCCACTATAGGTATACATACGACCAAACCGGAAATATGTCAGTGGATATTTTTACACGCTCTGCGCATGCGCACATGGACTCTAGTCCTATTTAAAGGCACCTCAATGAGTGCATACGTTGCAATGATCTTAAGGCAGAGTTATCTGTACGAGTTACATCCCTTTACATGCTGAGGCCAGCCAGTAAATTTTGGTCATTGGTTCAAATCCCAGATTCTGGAAGGTAACGATTCCATGTTTTTTGTCTATGTTGTACATGTGCGCCTGGGTTACACAAAAGTGGCGTAAAACCAAACTTAAACCCAAGTGATTCACTTTCTCAAGACCCCTAAACCCCATGTAAATGATGTATTTGCAGTATTTGGCAAAAGTGTATAACTATTATACACTAACTTGAACCTTGATCTAACTTGATCCTTTCATGATGATCTTGTAGCATGTTGGTAAACTGCTTTCTGCTCTGCAGGCTCCGACAGCTGTCAGGCGGGAACAGTGTTGCATCTCCCCCGCCCACACCTGGGTTAGGGGGCAAATTCAAGTTAGCAGAATACAGATATGGGCGAGAGGAGATGCTCGCCCTCTTCCACAGTAATTACAAAGCCCCTGAAGACCTTGTTAACTTTCCGCCAGTATACGTTGAAGAGGCGCAGAAACCACTGGCTCTAATTTCTCTAACTGAGGAAGAACAGGTAAGAGATTAAAAGATCTGTTTAGAATAATTTATTCGAAGTACAACACCCCAGGTTGGACCCTGAATAATAGAAATGTTCTCAACAAACTGTGTTTGTTATCACATGGCATGTAGGATCAAGGAAGAATGTGCTTGAATTTTTGTGTGAAGCTTTTGACATGTTTACATGATTTTTATAATTGTACATAGATAATTACTGTGACTTTAGCTGCTTGTCAGGACTAAATCTGGTAACCCCATGTGTGGTCCAGGACATTCAGCTTGTAATTGTTCATATGTTGTATTTTTAATCCTGACTATTATGTGAGATCCCAGGGTCACCCTGTACTGGAATGAACATCAAACAAGGTTATGCTTCCTTTTACAGAGGTTGATGTCTCAGTCTGTGAACAGTACAACAGTGCTCCGGTCTATGGGTCGAGGGGGGCAGCCAGTCAGAGGGGGCAGAGGAAGTGGAGACCGGGGCAGAGGCAGAGGTAGGCACTTGACCATCACTTAGTGACCACAAGGGTTGAAACAATGCACCAAAGGCAGAGTTTTTGTTTGGGAAGTAACACAGTACAGATGCATCATGACTCTTCACTTGACAGTATGATACATGTTCTTGTTTCTGTATCTGTACAAGACATTGCACTTGGTAAAATAAACTACACTCTACTCTTTCAGTGACCATCCTATGTTTTGTCTGATATTGAAAAATGTGTTGTAATTAGTATTTCGGTTCACTACTATATAGCCTCCATGAACATGTTTCTTCAGCTAGCTTTTCCTTTTGAACCTGCTCTGAAAGATTAATAGTCAGTTATTCCCCACATGGGCACAATGTGTGAAGCTCATTTATGGTATCCCTTGCCGTAATATTGCTGGAACATTGTTAAAAGCGGCGTAAAACCATACTCACTCACTCAAGTCAGTAAGTTTCCTTGTGATTTTACTTAATCTGCACGTTGTGATATGTTGTATCCAGTTTCGTGTACCCCGCTAACAAGCAAGTAACATTTTCTATGTACCCCGCTAACAAGCAAGTAACATTTTCTATGTACCCCACTAACAAGCAAGTAACATTTTCTATGTACCCCGCTAACAAGCAAGTAACATTTTCTATGTACCCCGCTAACAAGCAAGTAACATTTTCTATGTACCCCGCTAACAAGCAAGTAACATTTTCGATGTACCCCTCTTACAAGCAAGTAACATTTTCTATCTACCCCACTGGGAATCCCGAGATATTTGGTACTTAGTAGTAGTAATTCTTTATCTCAAATAACATTGAATCACATATGATGTACGGAAATTACCGATGTTTTTCGAATGCAAATTGATAGAGGGGAGATAACTTTGTTTTTCTTGTGGTCTGGTACAACATACTATGATCCGATGCCCGTGCTTCAAACAGTTCAAAATTACCATTGAGGTGTTCGGTAAGATAAATACGTTGTTCGCTGGTCCCTCTGGGCCCATGGGTTGATGTACCCATTGATGTTACTTTAACATAAACAAACATCAGGGGTACATCAGCCCTTGTCCCCTTCGAGACCAGTGAACAACATATAATATCTACCCTGAATGAAAGATATCCTAAACCCAGTGCATTGGTGACTTGTTTCAGCCTTTGTGAGCATTTTTGGTTTCCGTCCGTGGAAGTGCCCCTTTTTGAATTTCAAATTCAAGGCTGGATTTTAGACCTTATTCCCAGATTTTGTACAATGTATTTATAGTACATCAGAAATTCATCTACATATATTGTCTTCAGCTATTTGTCCCCAGAAACTGTAAGTTCTAAAATAATTCATGATGGTTGTGTCATTCTTACTAAGATGGCACTTTTTCAGGGAGGGGACGAGGCGATGGCTTCCCCCCGAGAACTCAACCCTACGACCAAGCAGAGAACGGCGGTGGGTTCGGGAGATCGCGGGGGCAGAACAAAGATGGATGGGAAGAAGTGTAAGCCTGATACAGACAACTTTTTTCTCTTTGTGTTTTCAATCTTGAGATCAGGCCCCGATTTCTCGAAACGAACTTAAGTCTGAGTTTTTACTCAAATTTGAGAAAACGCAGGAAAATGCATTTCCCAGAATAAACTGAAATCAATATTAAACTCAAACTTAGTAGACAATTAGAGTTTGGTGGATAGATGACTTAAGTTGTTTGGGCTTTTTTTATTTAAAAAATGCAGTTGAGTTAAATATTCAGCTGTTTCAAATTGTCAAACTCAGTTTGAAATTTGAGTAAAAACTTAAGTTTGTTTCGAGAAATCAGGGCCAGATTGTTAGCGATATCGTTGTTATGGCAGCCATTTTGGTATTGCCAACATGTTCTATTTCTTGTGTACAAGTGGTTGAAACTGTTGCAGGTTTGACTTGATCAAAGTTACTGAATTTGTGTAGAGTGAGGTCAATTTAAATACTTCTTGGGTATGTTTGTGAAGGATGCTATTGATCACAGTATGAAACATGTTGTGAACATAAGAATACTTCAGAACATGAAGCAGCAAGGTTGAGAACACCTAGCCCAAGGTTATGGTCAGTAATTAAAGACATCTACAGAACTCGACAACTGTCAGCTTCTCTGAGACTAGTAACATTCAGGAAGGAATAGTAAATAACGAAGAAGTTTGTTATGGTACAGGTGATTGTACCTCTATGACCCAAGTTATAACAGCACTAGCATGTGTACAGCTTGGAAAGAATTAGGAAGTAAAATTTCATGATTCAGCCAAGTCATCACAAGACAAATAGTTAAACACATCCCTGCTGCCTTCGTCGCACAAATAAAAGTGATACTTCACTGCCTTCTCTGGTTTAACAATGAAAAAAGGTTATCTTCTGGTTAAGTTGTCACGTAAAGTTGTCATACAAAGCCCATGTAATGCTATCTCCGAATTTAGCAACAGCAGCTGTAAAAAGTTTTTCATGGTCTTTGTTATTTCTAGTGGTAAAAAGTATGACAGAAGCTTCTCCGCTCGTACTGTTGATGATGTCCAAGTAGGGGGGAGACACCCTCAGTTCTCTCGATCGCTGAGCAGTGAAAATTGGCGAGAGAAAGAAGAGCCCCATGAAGATGATGGAGGAGACTGGCGAAGGGCAGGGCCACAGAAAGAAAGATGGAGTAAGTTTGTCAACAGATGAATATGCTCTTATGTTAGTCCTTCCTCTCACTAGTTAATCTGTTTACCACCTATCTAATTATTTTGAAAGCGTTGTTGCTTGTCGTAAGAGGCGACTAACAGGATTGGGTGGTCAGGCTCGCTGGCTTGGTTGACATAACATTACACGTTGTAAAAGGAGATCGGATGGTCAAGCTTGGTGACCATGGTAACTGGATGTATGCATGTCATCATTCCAATTCGCGTAACCCGTGAAGGTCCGGGTTAGAATATTGATCTTCAGTAACCTATGCTTGTCGTAAGGGGCGACTAACGGGATCGGGTGGTCAGAATCCCTGACTTGGTTGACACGTCATCGGCTCCCCATTGCGCAGATCGATGCTCATGCAGTCGATCACTGGATTGTCTGGTCCAGACTCGATTATGTATAGACTGCCGCCATACAGCAGGAATATTGCTGAGTGCGGCGTTTAACAAACAAATATTGTCTTGAAAAGGTCAGGTGTTTTCTTTAACTCCTTTTGATGAAATACTCTGGATAATCAAGGATGTTTTTACTTAATGGAAATCATTCTGACATTTCTTTTGAGTTTGTTGTGTCTATTTTCAGGCACACGGACCAACTGGAGAGAACCTATTGGTAGAGGTGGATTTGATGGTGAGCGGAGACAAAATGGTCCTATTAAAGACCGAACACTTTCGGATGCCGATGTTAAGCACCAGCTGTACAGACGCAGTAGGAGTAGTGAATCATGGGACACGGATGGTACAGTCAGCACTAAGCCAACCAATCATGGTCATGCCCAAACTTATACATGTTCAGATTACACGTTCTATCATGTTCTTCTGTCATTAATGTAAGGAAAACTAATTGAATTTTCATTATCACATAAAAGAAGTTTAACACATGATTCTTTCATATCTGGAGTGTAATTTACTTTAGAAAATCTGTGTAATCTAAGAGACATTTACAATTTTAGGCAATGCACCAGGAAAGTGTCTGTTTCACTGTGTGTTTGTTATCCCCCGTAACGCGTTTTGAGGGGGGTATTAAAATGGACTCCGTGCGTCCGTCCGTCCGTGCACTTTGGTCTTTTCCGGAGCAGAACTCTAAAACCGTTCACTATTTCTTCACCAAACCTGGCACATAGATTGATCTGGTGGTGTACTGGTGCCTTTTGGTAGTTTTGGAATTCTGAATAAAATATTTTTGGCGTTTCCATGGCAACAATTTTGACTTAGACTGAAATTGGTGGTAGTGCTCTTTTCCGGAGCAGAACTCTAAAACCGTTCACCATTTCTTCACCAAACTTGGCACATAGATAGATCTGGTGGTGTACTGGTGCCTTTTGGTAGTTTTGGATTTCTGAATAAACTATTTTTGGCATTTCCATGGCAACAAGCTTGACTAAAACTAAAATTGGTGGTAGTGCTCTTTTCCGGAGCAGAACTTTAAAAACCTTTCAATACTCTCCTTCCACTTTTCTATATACACACCTAAATATTTGACATAATCATAACTCGTAGACATAATCATGAAGAGTATTTTGCCATTGCGGGGGATATTGATGACTTTGTCTTCTTGTTTGAGTTACCCTGTTGCTCATCATCATGTTCTGAAGGTTCTGCTACTGGCCTGGGTCCCAATCCACAAAGTGTTTGTAGTGTTACCACATTTGTAAGGCTGTGATAAACATTTGAGTTGCGACAGGTCATAACATTACAAACCATGGTTGATCAGGACCCTGGTACTCAAGGTGATTATGATCCCTCCCATACTCTATCATAGACACATGACTCGTGTAGCTCTGACATTGCTCTCTGGACTCGAGCCATGGAGCCAACTACGTTAATGTTAGTACCTGTTATTGATAGTTGGTCATTTGTCCATTTGCAAAAAGTTTCCTTTTTATCCCCCCGACATGTAATGCAGGTGGATATAGTCGACGCCTTGTCCATCCGTACGTCTGTAATCATTTTGTTTCCAGAGCATAACTCAAAAACTGTTCAATATTTTTCAACAAAAAATGGTAGATATATCAAACAGAACCTAAGGTGGTGCCTTTTGCTATTTACAGATTTTTATTTTTTGAAACGTTTTGGAGGGGTGGGTGGGCTTCGTTTCCGGAGCATAACTAAAAAAACGTTCAATATTTTTCAACCAAACTTGGTAGATATATCAAACAGATCCTTAAGTGGTGCCTTTTGCTATTTGCATATTTTTGGCATATTTTTGTAGTTCCCGGTTTCCATGGAAACAATTCGGACTTAGTCCCAAAAGGGAGGGGTGGGTTTCGTTTCGGGTGCACAACTCGAAAAGCGTTCAGTATCTTTCAACAGAACTTGGCAGATATATTAGGCAAATTTTGAAATGGTGCCTTTTGCTATTTACAGATTTTTGGCATTTATATTTCTCATGATTTCCATGGAAACGATTTGGTAACTGTCAGATGATTTGGTCTTTCAAGTATGTGGGGGCCGGGGGGGATATGTCATCTTTTGATGACTCTTGTTTTATTTGTTTCCAGATTTGTTTTTAAAACATTTTGTCTCTAAGTAAAAAATGGTACATGATAATGCATTCTAAAGGATTAGTTAAGTTATAAATATTGTAGATCTGGAATGTGAACCTGTTATTTCAGTTTTATAGATTGGTTGGCTTGATGGTTGATAAAAGTTTAATTTTAGCTTGATATTATATGCACCGTGGCAACAATTTTGACTTAGCTTGAAATTGGTGGTAGTGCACTTTTCCGGAGCTGAACTCTAAAACCGTTCAATATTTCTTCACCAAACTTGGCACATAGATGGATCTGGTGGTGCACTGGTGCCTTTTGGTAGTTTTGGAATTCTGAATAAAACATTTTTGGCGTTTCCATGGCAACAAGTTCGACTTAGAACGAACTTAGTGGTAGTGCTCTTTTCCAGAGCAGAACTCTAAAACCGTTCACTATTTCTTCACCAAACTTGGCACATAGATGGATCTGGTGGTGCACTGGTGCCTTTTGGTAGTTTTGGATTTCTGAATAAAATATTTTTGGCATTTCCATGGCAACAAGTTCGACATAGACTGAAATTGGTGATAGTGCTCCTTTCAGGAGCAGATCTTTAAAAACCTTTCAATACTCTCCTTCCACTTTTCTATATACACACCTAAATATTTGACATAATCATAACTCGTAGACATAATCATGAAGAGTATTTTGCCATTGCGGGGGATATTGACGACTTTGTCTTCTTGTTAACATTCCACTGTAGTTGTATAAATATTGCCAATGTTGCCAATGCAATCGTTTCCATCAGCGGTATGAAAAAACCTTGTTATTCTGAGTTTGCATCTGTGTTGGTTGAAAGATCTATAAACAAAAAATATTACCGAGTCTAGTGTAAAACTAAACTCACTCACTATAAACAAAAGTGAACAGTAATATAAATGTGTTGGTTGCTTGATGTAATGTTCAGTTTTTTCAGCTGAAGAATCAGTTAGGGATTCAAGATAATCTTACATTGACTCTCCATTAGATTTATATTAAGTTTTCAAGTGCTCTCTTCCTGTGGTATTTTGGGGCGGTGGGGTAGCCTAGTGGTCAAAGCGTTGGCTCATCACGCCGAAGACCCGGGTTCGAATCCCGACATGGGTACAATGTGTGAAGCCCATTTCTGGTGTCCCCCACCGTGATATTGCTGGAATATTGCTAAAAGCGGCGTAAAACCAAACTCAGTCAGTCAGGCCTGTGGTATTTCCTATAAACCCTTTCTGTACATGCATCAAGAGCATGTCAGTTGTGTTGGTCATGGCTTGCCGAACCTCCTGAACATACTCCTGTTTTATCATTTGTCATTATCCCAACATGCATGTGTTAGTTACGCATTGTAGACCATGTCAGGTAATGCTTCTAGATACCCTGAATATTTTCACTTCTGTCAATCATGGTAACAAATTACTCATGAAGAGTAAGGTTCGTAATCATAGTGCTTCAGTGCTTCAAATAGATCATTGGAATAAAGATTATAATATAGTACGGTCATGTTATGGACATGATTCCCCCATGCAACATCTTACCAAAGTTTGTTACAAGATGGTACTTGTTGTCACCCTGGCGGTTGTTCTGGGCCCCGTTCCTCAAAGCGATCGTAGCGCTACGACAGTCGTAAGTCTGTGTTAAAGTATGGGAGTTACAATCACCTAAGCGCTACGATCGCTTTGAGGAACGGGGCCCAGGAACAGGAATTGTCTGCTTGTAGTCAGTATATTATGAGTAAGTATGATATATGTGGGATGGTCTCTCTGTGTCCTAGCCCTCACAATCTGGCATTAGTCTGGACCAGTACAAAAGGAGACTCATACAAGCACATTTCTGTATTGGAGAAATAATCTTGGTACATGTTCAACTCCATTCACCTATTTTAATGAAAAGGGATGGTATTTCACAGAAGTGTGTTTTGTCAGATGAGGCTGACTAACTGCAGGGTTTATTCCTAGTGCTGGCTATTTACCGTCCCCAAAACATCTATGTATATCCTCGGGGATACATGGTACTCTGTGTCATTGTAACATTCAGGTAACCTTGTATGTTTCGAAGATGTATACTGAATATTTAAAGGATATCCTGTATTTATTTTGTAGTGATTACTGAACACGGAATATCATGTCAAAAAAGCATCATGATCCTGAAATATTTTGACCAGTATACATGGTATAAATTGAAGATCTGCAACACTTGCGGTATTGGCAAACTGAAACACTTATTGTGTTTAATCGCCTCACTCATTCCCCAGTCAGGTATCCCCACATGTATATCACCATGACGTGTGTGCTTCACTGCATAGTTCTACACCAGTGTATTTATGTGGACATGTTTGTGTAGATTTGCCAGAGTGGAGCGTTCCTGGTGATGACGACATGGAAGAGCTGGGAACATTTGATGCTAGTGGGGCATTTGTTACTTCTCATCCAAAGGTAGGATATGTCAGTTCAGTTTCATTTTCACCATGTTGTAAGCATGTTGTTTTAACCATGCTTCTTTTCTTGTCAAGCAACTGTGACCAGCCCCTCTTTCAATTGCTGTTTTGTTAGCTTTACTTTAAATATGTAAAACTTTGTTCTTCAAGATTTGGCAATGTTTAACGAGTCATTTATTTCAAAACAATGGAAGTGCTGAGATCACCAGAGCACCCTTAAGTATCGGGCCTTATTGATGTTTGTGTATATCAGGATGTCAATTTTATGGACCCGTGAAGATCCGGGGCTAGAATAGGTCTTCAGCAACCCATGCTTGCCATAAAAGGCGACTTTGCTTGTCGTAAGAGGCAACTAACGGGATCAGGTGGTCAGGCTCGCTGACTTGGTTGAGACATGTCATCGGTTCCCAATTGTGCAGATCGATGCTCATGCTGTTGCTCACTGGATTGTCTGGTCCAGACTCGATTATTTACAGACCGCCGCCATATAGCTGGAATATTGCTGAGTGCGGCGTAAAACTAAACTCACTCACTGACTCATTTTTTATGGTTGTGTTTGCAGGGCTTTAGGAATGGAGAGAGTCCACACCCTGATGTACCACACACCAGTCAGTCACCATCACAGCCTAACACAGACTTGCCTCCGCAGGGCAAGGAACCACCCCGAGAACAGAGAAGGGTAAGACTTTGTATTATTATCACGTGCTTGATAACAGCGTAAGTACCTATGGGGGCGGTGGGGTAGCCTAATGGTTAAAGCGTTGACTCGTCACGCCGAAGACCCGAGTTTGATTCCCCACATGGGCACAATGTGTGAAGCCCATTTCTGGTGTCCCCAGCCGTGATGTTGCTGGAATATTGCTAAAAAACGGCGTAAAACCAAACTCAGTCAGTTAGTACCTATGCCGAAACGTCATACTCATTGCAATAAAGAAGTTGACTATCCATAGAACTTGGTTTTCCTTCAAGGGTAAGACTTGTCTGACATTCCAGGCTATTTAGTCTCCATTTTGTTATCCCACCGGCATATAATGCGGTGGGATATAGTCGTCGCCTCGTCCGTCTGTCCGTCCGTCCGTCCGTCCGTCCGTAATCATTTTGTTTCCGGACCATAACTCAAAGACCGTTTGATATTTTTTAACCAAAATTGGTAGATATGTCAAAAATAACCTAAGGTGGTGCCTTTTGCTATTTACAGATAATTGTCATTTTTATTTTTCTCGGTTTCCATGGAAACGTTTTGGACTTAGTCTTAAAGAAGGGTGGGCTTCGTTTCCGGAGCATAACTCAAGAACCATTCAATATTTTTCAACAAAACTTGATAGATATATCAAACAGAACCTTAAGTGGTGCCTTTTGCTACTTACAGATTTTTGGCATTTTTATTTTTCCCGGTTTCCATGGAAACGATTCGGACTTAGTCCCAAAAGTGAGGGGTGGGCTTCGTTTCCGGAGCATAACTCAAGAACCGTTCAATATTTTTCAACAAAACTTGGTAGATATATCAAACAGATCCTAAAGTGGTGCCTTTTGCATTTCACAGATTTTTGGCATTTTATTTTTCCCGGTTTCCATGGAAACGATTCGACTTAGTCCCAAAAGTGAGGGGTGGGCTTCGTTTCGAGCATAACTCAAGAACCGTTCAATATTTTTCAACAAAACTTGGTAGATGTATGAAACAGAACCTTAAGTGGTGCCTTTTGCTATTTGCCGATTTTGGCATTTTTATTTTTCCCGGTTTCCATGGAAACATTTTGAACTTAGTCTCAAAAAGTAAGGATTGCTTTCGTTTCCGGAGCATAACTCAAGAACCATTCAATATTTTTCAACAAAACTTAATAGATATATCAAACAGATCCTAAAGTGGTGCCTTTTGCTATTTGCAGATTTTTGGCATTTTTATTTTTCCCGGTTTCCATGGAAACGATTCGGACTTAGTCCCAAAAGTGAGGGGTTGGGCTTCGTTTCCAGAGCATAACTCAAGAACCGTTCAATATTTTTCAACAAGACTTGGTAGATGTATGAAACAGAACCTTAAGTGGTGCCTTTTGCTATTTGCCGATTTTTGGCATTTTTATTTTTCCCGGTTTCCATGGAAACATTTTGAACTTAGTCTCAAAAAGTAAGGATTGCTTTCGTTTCCGGAGCATAACTCAAGAACCATTCAATATTTTTCAACAAAACTTGATAGATATATCAAACAGATCCTAAAGTTGTGCCTTTTGCTATTTGCAGATTTTTGGCATTTTTATTTTTCCCGGTTTCCATGGAAACGATTCGGACTTAATCCCAAAAGTGAGGGGTGGGCTTCGTTTCCGGAGCACAACTCAAAAACCTCTCTATATCTTTCAGCAAAACTTGGCAGATATGTGAGGCAGATATTGAAGTGATGCCTTTTGCTATTTGCAGATATTTGTGATTTATTATTTTCTCGGTTTCCATGGAAATGATTCGAACTTAGTCTCAAAAAGGAAGGGATGGGTTTTGTTTCCGGAGCACAACGCTAAAACTTCTTAATATCTTTCAGCAAAACTTGGCAGATATGTGAGGTAGATCCCAAAGTGGTGCCTTTTGCTATTTGCAGATTTTTGTCATTTACTTTTTTCATGATTTCCATGGAAACGATTTGCACTTAGTCTAAAATCAAGCTGGACTTTAAGTAACTGTCAGATGATTTGTTCTTTCAAAGATGTGGGGGCCGGGGGGATATGTCATCTTCTGATGACTCTTGTTATAATACAAACCATTGACCAAGTTGCCTCCATACTTTAAGTCTGGGTGGAATGACAGTACGCTCTAAGTACACATCCAATCAAATTATTCTGTTCTTATGTGGTTAAAAGAGGAGGTGATATCACCAATACTGCAGTCACACATTTAGTGCTAACACAGACATAGCAAAGAATATGTTGTAGTTAGTGGACTTTCTCCACTTTCTGTCGTAACCTGGTGGTTAAAGCGTTCGCTCATCACACGGAAGACCTATGTTCGAATCCCCACATGGGTACAATTTGTGGATCCCTTTTCTGCTGTCCCCGGCCATGATATTGTGGAAATATTTCTCAAAGCGGCATAGAACGGAACTCCCTCCTCCCTATCCCTGTCTTGGGGGCACAGGTGGCTCAGCTTTGCGGATTTGCAGACGAGATATCGCCTTAACGCGGAACAGGGGACTGTATTTAGCGGCATCCGTACTTACGCCCCGATTCTTGTTACGCGATATCTCATGAACTGTTGTACCCAATGTCTTCAAATTTAGTGACAGCCTACATTGGGGGATTACGCAGATACCAGATTATTTGTGTGAACCTGATGTTATCTCCAAGGTCACCACGACACTTTGACCACTTTTCTAACTCTTATTAATGCGATATTACATGGACTGTTGTACCCAGTGTCTTCAAATTTGGTGACAGCCTACACTGGGGGGATTATGCAGACACCAGTCGATTGGGGTGACCTTGACCTGATATTCAAGGTCACCATGACACACTTTTCAAACTCCTTTTAACGTAACATCTCATGGACTGTTGTACTCAATGTCTTCAAATTTGGTGACAGCCTACATTGGGGATTACGCAGACACCAGTTGATTTGGGTGACCTTGACCTTATTCTGAAGGTCACCACAACACTTTGCACACTTTTAACTCTTAACGCGATATCTCATGGACTGTTTGTTGTACCCAATGTCTTCAAAATTGGTGACTGCCTACATTGGGGGATTACGCAGACACCAGTTTATTTGGGTGACCTTGACCTTATCTTCAAGGTCACCACGACACTTTTGACTGCTTTTCAAACTTATTTAAACGCGATATCTCATAAAACATTGCACCCAATGTTTTCAATTATGTTTACAGCCTACATTGGGTGATTAGGCAGGCACCAGTTATTTCAGGCATCTTGTATGTGACCAAAAAATTAAAAGTAAATATAGATATTCCATTCTTTAGCAGCGGGGGACATTGCCATATCAGTGGCAAACACTTGTTTTTTAGCTTTCCATTCATGTGAAGCTGACAAACCATGATGTAACTAGAATATGGTTCAAAGCCGTGTTAGATGCAACTCACTTACTCATGGTGGGATAATACTTGAAGGAAAAGATTGGCTCTTCAAATCACATGTTCCTTGATGTATGATTTATTTGCGTCACTGTCATCATGATTATACTTAACTTTCAGGATAAGAAGAGTCCGCGCTCAACAAGTGCTCCAGAGGTCAAGCAAGAAAGTGCTAGTAACCATGGCAATAGCCAGTCTCAGTCTCCAAAGCCAACTGTGAAACCAAGTCAGGAACCCAAGAGAATAGATCCCAAATCTGTGCAGTTTGGAGATGTGTCACAAAATATTAATGACTCGAACAGTGCTCCTATTGAACAGAAATTAAACACTATGAGTGTGCACCCAGAGAGAGTACCTGGCAAGAAAGTTAAGGGTGGACTGCACACAGCGGACAATGATCCCTTGGATAGATTAAAGGAAGCTGCCGAGAACATGGTTGCTGAAATGACAGCTGAGGTACATGATGTGTGGGGAGAGGTGTGTGAGAATCTTCAAGACATCTTGCCCTTGTGTCAGTCTTTTTGTGCCCTTGAGGAGAAAAGGGGATGTATATTGGCCTGTTGATGTGTGTGATGCCATGTGGGCATTGGTGCCAATGTGATGTCGTCACAGAGTTGCTACCAGTATGATATGGGTGTTATGTCATGCTGGGGTGCCCAAGTGATGTGGGTAGAATGTCACGTGATAGTTGCTACCAGTATGATATGGATGTTATGTCATGCTGGCCCTATTGATGTCTGTAGAATGTCACGTGAGAGTTGCTACCAGCATGATATGGGTGTTATGTCATGCTGGGGTGCCCAAGTAATGTCTGTAGAATGTCACGTGAGAGTTGCTACCAGTATGATATGGGTGTTATGTCATGTTGGGGTGCCCAAGTAATGTCTGTAGAATGTCACATGAGATTTGTTACCAGTATGATATGGGTGTTGTGTCATACTAGGGGGCCTTAGTGATGTGGATAGAATGTCATGTGAGATTTGCTACCAGTATGATATGGGTGTTGTGTCATGCTGGGGTGCCTTAGTGATGTGGATAGAATGTCATGTGAGATTTGCTACCAGTATGATATGGGTGTTGTGTCATGCTGGGGTGCCTTAGTGATGTGGGTAGAATGTCATGTGTGTTGCTTCCAGTGTGATATGGGTGTTATGTCATACTTGGGGGCCTTAGTGAAGTGGGTAGAATGTCATGTGTGTTGCTTCCAGTATGATACGGGTGTTATGTCATACTAGGGGGCCTTAGTGAAGTGGGTAGAATGTCATGTGTGTTGCTTCCAGTATGATATGGGTGTTATGTCATACTAGGGGGCCTTAGTGATGTGGGTAGAATGTCATGTGTGTTGCTTCCAGTGTGATATGGGTGTTATGTCATACTTGGGGGCCTTAGTGATGTGGGTAGAATGTCATGTGTGTTGCTTCCAGTATGATATGGGTGTTATGTCATACTAGGGGGCCTTAGTGATGTGGGTAGAATGTCATGTGTGTTGCTTCCAGTATGATATGGGTGTTATGTCATACTAGGGGGCCTTAGTGATGTGGGTAGAATGTCATGTGTGTTGCTTCCAGTGTGATATGGGTGTTATGTCATACTAGGGGGCCTTAGTGATGTGGGTAGAATGTCATGTGTGTTGCTTCCAGTATGATATGGGTGTTATGTCATGCTGGGGTGCCTTAATGATGCGGGTAGAATGTCATGTGAGAGTTGCTTCCAGTGTGATATGGGTGTTATGTCAGGCTGGGGAGCCTTAGTGATGTGGGTAGAATGTCACATGAGAGTTGCTACCAGTATGATATGGGTGTGAGGTCATGGTCTGGGGTGCCTTTGTGATAGATGTTGGTGCTAATGTGATGATGTTAAGGTGGCATGTGGGTGTTTGTGCCAATGTGATGTGACTATAATATCATGTGACCATTGGTAGTATGATGTGGGTGTTATATCATGTTGGGGTTGGCACCAAGGTGCTTTGGGTAGAATGACACATGGGCTTTGATGCCAGTGTGTGAATTGAAGGGTGCCAGTATATGGGAACAGTTGCATAATAAACACCCACATCAGTTTAACTGAAGGCCAAGCTGATTGTAAAATACTGCAGGAAGGGAAGGAAAGGTTTGAGATGGGAGATCTAGTATTTGGAATTAGAATCTTAGAATATCATTAGGTTAGATTGTTTCGGGTTTTTTTTCATTCTACAGCTCTTTCAACCTTGGGCCAATAAATCTCACCTAAGCACTAGTCGGTGCACAGATGTACTTTCAGAGGTTAATGATGCTTGTGGGAATAATGGTTTTCATGAGATTATAATGCTGTTTTCTAATCAGGATGAAGAGAACAGGTTACAGAGAGGGCCAATGGACCCTCGGACTCAAGGTGTTCCCCTGAGTCATGAAGAGTCCCTCAAGTGGTTTTACAGGGACCCCCAAGGAGATGTCCAAGGTATATACCTATACCCACGAGGACATTACAAATCAAACATATTTATGTCCCTATAAACTATTATCCTTCCAGCATATTTTGTGAATATTTTGTGGGGTTATATAGTCGACACCTCATCCGTCTGTCTGTAATGATTTTGTTTCCGGAGCATAAATAAAAATATAGTTCAATATTTTTCAACAAGAATTGGTAGATATAGCAAACAGAACCTAAAGTGGTGCCTTTTGCTATTTACAGATTTTTGCCATTTTTATTTTTCACGATTTCCAGGAAACAATTTAAACACTTAATCTCAAGAAGGGATGGATCTTGTTTTCGAACATAACACAAAAAAACCGCTCCATATCTATCAACAGAACTTGGCAGATATAGGAGACAGATCCCAAAGTGGTGCCTTTTGCTAATCACAGATTTTTGGCATTTTAATTTTTTCTGGATTTCCATGGAAACAATTTTGACTTAGTCTCAAAAGGAAGGAGTACATTTCCAAAGCACAACTCAAAAACCATTCAATATCTTTCAACAAAACTTGGCATATGTATCAAACAGATCCCGAAGTGGTGCCTTTTGCTATTTGCGGATCTTTGTCATTTTTAATTTAATTTTTCATTTTCCATAGAAATGATTTGGTCTCAAAACAGAGGGGTGGGCTTTGTTTCCAAAACTTGGCAGATATATGAAACAGATGTTGAAGTGGTGCCTTGGTCTTAGTCTAAAACAAATCAAGTGGGATTTAAAGTAACTGTCAGATGAATTGTTTCAAAATTATTTTATTTATTTATTTATTATTTTTATTTTTTTTTTTTTTTTTTTTTTTTGGGGGGGGGATTTGTCATCTTCTGACTCTTGTTTTCTGAGGGAAATTCACACAAAAATTTTTTTATCCTCACCTATCTGCAAATGTCATTTTGTATATGCAAGGTCTGCACTGGAGTACTCCCCACATAGATAAAGTGTGTGAAGCACATTTCTGGTTGCCTCCTCTCTGGATTTTTGCTGGAGTTTTGCTGAAACCGATGTAAAACTAAAATAACTCACTCACTGCAGTCCCCAGTACAAATTGCCTGAAACAGTCTGCCAACTCTATGTGTAACAAAAGTAACCACTCCAGGCTTTGTCAAAGGTATCTAAGCACTGATGACTAATGTATGGGAGTCCCTTTCAAGAGTTTGCCTGCTTGCTTGCAGCTGTAGTATCACCTTAAAGGAGCTGACCTCGGCATAAAGACTTACCCTCTCAGCATCCTCACGAACACTGGAGAAGACTACGTATATGTATTAGGATCCTGGAATCAGATTTAAACCAAAGTCATCCCCTCACTCACTCACTTTTCAGGTCCTTTTAATCCAGAGGAGATGGCCCAATGGTTCAGTGCTGGTTACTTTACAATGAGTCTTCTGGTTAAAAGGGGATGTGATGAACGATTCCAGCAGTTAGGTAAGTACGAATTTTGTCTCCATACAAATTCTGTCAACATTTTGTTGATCACAAGCCCGTGAAGATCCTGGTTACAATTGATCTTCAGTAACCCATGCTTGTCGCATAGACATGTACAATCAATTAGATAACATTGATTATGGTTCCAGGAGAACTGATAAAGAGGTGGGGCCGGTTCCATTCCTAGCTGGCCCAACACCGCCTCCATTACTGGTAAGATGGACTTTCACATTACTCATCTTTTTATTATACCTGTAAAAGTTGATTTTTACTTATATGAACAATGTAGAATTGAAGCCAATAGAAAAATATTTGACCCTTTAAAGTTCAGTATGTTGAAAATATATCAATTTCCTCTGTATGTTCAAAATTTCTATGAATACACAATGCCATTTAGAAAGTGGTTACTAAGAAAGTGTAATCCCCAAAATAGCATGTTACATCAATTTCCTGTTTTTACAATTTGAGATACATCCATTTCCTCTTCAACCTTCACCGTTACTCTTTGTTCCAATGTCAGAACATCCCAGTCTCAGTGTCCAATACTGAAGCCCCTGTAAAACAGACTCCACCCCCCCAGCAGCCAACGCCCACTCCTCCACCCCCTCAGGACCTGCTTGGAATCATACCTCAACAGTTTCTCCTTCAACAGCTCATGCAGCAGCAGATGCTCATGAGGTAAGTGGACAGAACAAAATCACATGTACCAGGAATATTTGTACGACATTGTTTGTTCCAGAGACGGGGCCGTGTGGGTAGCCTAGTGGTTAATGTGTTCTCTCATCATGTCGAAGACAAGGGTTCGATTCCCACATGGGTACAATATGAAGCCCAATTGTGGTGTCCCCCTGCCGTGTTATTGCAGGAATAATTCTGAAAGCCTGAAGAGTCCTGGAATGTTACCATCAGCCTATTAACCATTGCCACTCTGAAAATGGTGTTTATTTCAGAGTAGAAACGTTATGTTTTACATGTCAAAAATGATTTAGAATATTTTAATGATTTAGACAGCCAACTCAGGACTTCCAGCATAGATTATTGATGTCCACAGGACTGAATTTTGAATTAGGGCAGAGTATTTTGCATCTAGTAGGAGCCTGAAGTCTTACAGTCCAAGGTGAAAGGTGAAAGTGTTGGTTATTGCAGGCAGATGCAGGTACAGATGATGACTCAGATGCGAGATCAGGATTCGTTCAAGACGATGTCTCCACCGCAGCAGCAACAGATGGTGATGCAGATGTTGATGCAGACACAACCAATGTTTATGCAGCAACTTCAGCAGCTACAACAACTACAGCAACAACAACAACAGCAACAACAACAGAACAGGCTGTCCCCACAGTGAGTTGAATTACTGTTTGAAATTAATGCCGAAATCAGGAGTCCTATAGAAATTAGTGCTATGTCGGCAGGGATTTAGTTGTGTATGTTTAGTCCATAGTTCTTTGAAATACACCAACTAACTATTGACATTCTGAAATTTGAATGGGGCGGTGTGGTAGCCTAGTTGTTAAAGCGTTTGCTTGTCATGCCGAAGACCTGGGTTCGATTCCCCACATGGGTACTATGTGTGAAGCCCATTTCTGGTGTTCCCGCCGTGATATTGCTGCAATATTGCTAAAGCGGCGTAAAACCAAACTCACTCACTGAAATTTTAACGTATTTATGCAAGAATGGCAATGTCAGTTGTATGTAACATGGAATTGATAATTTGATTCAGGTGAATCAAACATTGTCTCAACCATGTCCCATATATCCTATCGCAAAATTCGAAGGTGTTGCTAATTTGACCATGCTACACATTTTGATTTTTTGGTTTGAAGAGGAGCCCAATAAGAATTCACCAATTAGATTGGGTGCTCTGACATGATGACTTGGTTCTATTGTGTTATTCGATTTTGGGGGAGTTACTCCGATTTTTAACTGCAAAATCTGCTCTCCGATTTCCCTTTTAAAAACTCAGATTTTTTAGAAAAAATTCTGAATTCATTTTTACGGTATACAATTTCAAAAGTCACCAGTGATTTATTTGAGTGAACACTGGTAAAAGCATTCAGAAGATTAGCGTGTGATCCTTTGGGTGTCGATTGTGTATATTGCGTGTTATTGACAATGAAGTTTCACAAATATTTCCGAATGCATGTCATAGTCTGTATTAAAGTGAAACAAAATGGCAAAGCTGACCACGCGCTCACCCCCAACTTGCACCTTTGGTGCTCAGGCCTGGCTTTCAGCCAGTCATGACTCCATTTTCCTTAGATTCAGGGTTGGCATCTCTGTTATTGTACCTTGGCATGGATCATATTATTGATCACTTGATTGTCTGGTCCTGACAACATTATTTACAGACTGTCATCTATCTCAGTTAATGTTGCTTGTGTCATTGAACACACACAAAGCATGCCCCTCCAAGTGAGGTGATAGTGCTGTGAAACTATGGAAAGCTATATTATGTGGACACTCCCACTGTGTTCCAGGCCGCAGGCAGCAGAGGGCACCCCTACTACCTCCCTCCCAGCATATCACATGCCCCAGTCTGGCCCTGCCGTAGAAGGGGAGGGGCATCCTCCAGGAGGACAAGGTAATACCACTACACCATGTACCTGCCCACGATCAGAGATCAAGAACTATGTGACATGGACCTTGTCATAATCACAGAATATAAGATTAATGGGATTGAATTGCTTTGATATTCATCAAACTATGAATTGCCCATTATTTCTAAGACAACTCAGTGTTCATTGTTTCAATGTTTCAGTGTGATCAAGTTATTGTTAAGAACTATGAAACAGCACTGGGTCATGAAATTTAACAACCAGACAAGCTTCTTTCATATTACTATATCCTTTCAACAGCAGTTCTACTTCGCCAGAGACCTGTAGAAACTGCATGCCACAGTGGCAGAAATGTGTAATGTTGGTGTGTATGTTACAGTTGCTTGGTGTGTATGTTACAGTTGCTTGGTGTGTATGTTACAGTTGCTTGGTGTGTATGTTACAGTTGCTTGGTGTGTATGTTACAGTTGCTTGGTCTCCCATTTTTCAAAATCTGTGTAAAACTCTGATATTATCAATCAAGCCAAGTGTGTATGTTACAGTTGCTTGGTCTCAGCCCAGCAGTGTGTGGGACCTGGAAACTCCACCTAGTGACATGTCACCTAACACTATAAACCAGCAGCAACTGGAAAAACTGCAAGCTGTGAGTACTCTCAGTATTAGAATGGTCATGCTAGATGTATGTTATAGCTTTCTAAAGTTGTCCATCACTTGCTCACAGTTGTAGTTATAACTGGGACCTGTTGCAATGATGCTATGGTTTTTGCTTGTGAAATGTTTCTTCTTTGTATGGCTTAAAAAGTTGTTGCAGTACCCTGTGTATATCCCCCAACCTTAATTTAAGTTTTTCACTGATTTCACGGTAAACCAATGGGTTTAACTATATTGGCTGGACAAATATCTCCAAAATGTAGAGTGTGTGGCTACTTGCCAGTCTAGACAGTCAGCTATATATATTTACATGAGTCAGGTGTAATGTTTTCTTATGGCCGAGACCCGTGAAGATCTGGGGTAGAATAGGTCTTCAGCAACCCATGCTTGCCTCAAAAGGCGACTAACGAGATCGGGTGGTCATGCTCGCTGACTTGGTTGACACATGTCATCGGTTCCCAATTGTGCAGATCGATGTTCATGATGTTGATCACTGGATTGTCTGGTCCAGACTAGATTATTTACAGACCGCCGTCATATAGCTGGAATATTGCTGAGTGTGGCGTAAAACCAATTTCACTCACTCTTATGGCAGTGTGGGCATAGGTGGTTCAGTAGATGAGGCTTTGCAGTTCACTGTGGGGCAGAGTTGTGTCCCTTAGGTGTGCCAGAATGTCATGATGCACCCTGATTTATGATCTTAGGTGATAATCACCATACTCTTGCACATGAGCTTCAATCATCCAATGGCTTAAGTTGTGAACATCAAAGATTCCTTCCTTATTACACTGACTTCTTTGCTGTAAAAGAAATGCTATTCAAAGTATGTTAAACTAATCTCATTCAGACACTCTTATGGCAGTTATGATACTCTTATTTGCCCTCAAGTGCTCGCTTACAATCTGTTTCTGTCTAATCCAGCAACAGAAAGCAGAAGAAATACGCAGGAAACAAGAGGAGGAAGAAGAGAGACGTCGTCAGATAGAGATGCAGAGAACTCAGGAAGAGCTGAAGAGACAGCAGGAAGAAATTGCAATGGAGAGAGAGAAGATGATACGCGAGAAGAAGGAGCTGGAGAGACAGAGGCAGGCTGAACTAAAGGTACGGTCCTTGCTTCAACAGCTGGTATCTGCTGAAATGATTACAGGAGTACTTGGCACATTCAATTAGTTGCTGAGAAGTTTATGGGTTCCTTGTGTTTTAATATGGCCCCCTTATTACTGAGGGGCAGTGGGGTAGCCTAGTGGTGAAAGCGTTCGCTTGTCACGCCGAAGACCCAGGTTTGATTCCCCACATGTACAATATGTGAAGCCCATTTCTGGTGTCCCCTGCCGTGATATTGCTGGAATATTGCTGAAATGGACGTAAAGCTCACTCACTCAACTATTACTGATGTGTTCTGAAAGAACTAACTCACCTTGTGAAGATGTCAAGAAACATTTTGTTTGAAATGAGATATATTTGCTGACTTTGATGTTTAACTAAATCAAACTACCGATTGTGTGAAATTCTGAATTAATATGTCTAAACTGTAAAGATGACTTGACAAGATTGTTTACTTTCAATATAGCGTATGGAAGAAATTCGTCGTCGAGAGGAAGAGGAAATAAGAAGACAAATGGAGGATGAACGTAAACGAGAAGAAGAAAGAATGAGAGAAGAGCAGCGTCGCCGAGAAGAAGAGCTTGCTCTCCAGAGAGAAGAGGAAGCCCTTAGGAAGCAGGAAGAAGAAAGGAAAAGAATTATAGAGGAAGAGAGGAGGCGACAGGAGGAGATGCACAGACAACAGATGGAGGAGGAACACAAGAAACAGGTGTGTAGCTTTTTTGAAGCACAGGATTTAACAACACTCACTGATGTCCCTTCTTATTGTGTACGCTATCCACATTGATTGGAATATTTTTAAACTATCCGCATTAAAAAATCTGATTCTCAAAATATGTAAAGCGTACATTTAAATATTTCTTTCAATATTTGAGTAATACATATCATGACAAGAATCCAGATTTTCAACAGTTTGAGAAGAGTTGAATTGGCTTGAATTCCTATTTACTATTCTCTTTTCAATTACATGTGTTTCCATTAGTGTATAAGGTAGCGCCACTAAGGTATTAAACATTGAATAATGATTTGAGATGACACTGGTGGAGCGCCTGTGGTCTTTAGTATAGGTGGAATTTTCTAAATAGAACAATAAATCTTTGATATTTCTTGAAAATACTTAAGAGAGTTGCTGTCCTGTTTAGAATAAGACCACCCATATTGATAGGATGATTAGGGTCAGAAACTTGCATGCCATCAATTTCAGGTCGCTGCTATGTATCTGGAACATTGTTGAGTGGAATTAAAATTTAAAAAATTTAAGAGTGTTAAGAAGGATTAATGTCAAGTGTGTAGTACACGTTGCAACTATTGTGTGTAGGAGATGTTGCGGCAGCAGGAGCTGCAGAGACAGCAAGAGGAGATGCTGCAAGAGCAACAGCGGGAGGAGGAGAGGCAGAGGGAGATACTCCGACAACAGGTACAGCTCAGTTTCGATCGCGTCTTGCTTTAGGTTAGAACTGGTGGCCTGCACTCTTGTGCTTGTTGAAGGCAAAAACTGGACCTTGTGGTGGCTCAGGGAGAGACCTGGCTCCGATTTCTCGAAACTAACTGAAGTCTGAGTTTTGACTTAAGTAAGAGTTTTTACTCAAATCTGAGAAAATGCATTTCCCAGAATGAACTGAATTCGATACCAAACTCAAACTTAGTAGACAATTTGAGTTTGGAGGATAGATTACTGAAGTTAATTGGGATTTTTTATTTATAAAATGCAGTTGAGTTAAAATTCAGCTCTTTCAAATTGTCAAACTCAGTTTGAAATTTGAGTAAAAACTTAAGTTTGTTTCGAGAAATCGGGGCCAGATTGCATGTCATTGACCCTGATGCTGTGGGTCGACATTCATACAATCAATCACTTGTTTGAGTTATGGGGAGTGTAATGATGTATTGAACTATCATAGAATTGCAATTGTTTTTCTTACAATTTAACTAAATCGATAGGCAATTCTTCTATGATTGTACCATATCGATGTAGAACACATTAGACTTGTACTGTCGTGAAAATGGCCCCAAACTCACTCTTAGTCCCTGCCATTGTCCGACGTGAAGCCATGTTTAGTGTTGGCAGACACAATGACAGTTGTTCAACTGGAAGTATTGCCAATGTGTAATCTAAGCTGCCTCCCTAATGTCGTATCTTGAACTGTTCCTTGAAAAGAGTGATAAGACAATGAATGTATTCCTGGTTGAACACAGTGCATAGAAAATCTGAACTATTCACAGTCTGTGAAGTTTTAGCAGTGTCTTTAAACCTAGGGGCGGGTGGGTAGTCTAGTGGTTAAAGTGTTGGCTCGTCACGCCGAAGACCCGGTTCGAATTCCCACATGGGTACAATGAGTGAAGCCCATTTCTGGTGTCCCTCGCCATGATAACGCTGGAATATTGCTAAAAGCGGCGTAAAACCCAACTCAGTCAGTCAGTCTTTAAACCTAACTTTATTTGTTTCCTTTTTGTTGAAGGAGCTGCAGCGTCAGGAACAACAGAAACTTCAGCAAGATGCACTAAGACGTCTACAGCAGCAACAACAAGAACAGTTGGCTCGAATGCAGGTAAACAAAATGATACATATTTTATACATTGGAGTGATCAAATGTGCTTTCAATTCTCAGGAAATTTGATTACAAGTAATACTTGATAATCCTGTGCAGATTCTGTGGAACCTGTATGGATTCCCACTTCCACATGCTTGTTTACAATGACAAGGGTGTCATGTTCTGTCCTTCGCATATCACCATACCCTAATAGTATGGATGGTTGCTCTTGCATTCATTCAGTAATTTCACGGGTCCTGAATGTTTATAAACGGGTTGGCATGGTATGGTCAAAATATTGCTGACTGTGTTATGAAATGACAACAAACAGTGGAATGGTTTACTTGATTTTGGTTTGTCTGTTTTATGTTAGCTTCCTCCAACTGCACAATGGGCGAGTCAACTGCAACAGCGGGAGACTAACGAGGGGAAATCGCTGGCTGAGATACAGCAGGAAGAGGAGAGGCAGATGCAGGAGAGAGAAGTGAGTTGGGGGGTACACAGGGCTTTACACTGAAAGTGAGAAGTGAGTTGAGGGATACCAGGGTTTTACTTTGACTAACGAAAGTGTGGGTCCAGGGTTACCCCCATCATTACATTTTGCAGGTCCTTGTCGGTAATCTGAGGGTCCTGGAACGTATACAAATGGTGTTCTGTACTTTATGTTCAGACTTTATGTTCAGACTTCAGGGCCTGGAATGAATCGGTGGTCAGGACTTATGGGTAAAATAACAGACCCAGATAACTACTCCTGATGTGCTGTAGCTATTTTTGCGCATCTCTCCGGATGCGGTATTCTGCCTCCATTCTCGAATTTTGTGTGTTCTGGACGCATGTTTGTGCGTCATGTAAAACCTTGGGCATACAAAGGGCTTTGGTATGCACTGAAAACGATGAAGTGTTGTGGGATACACAGGGCTTTGGCATGCACCGAAAGTGACAAGTGATTTTGGGATGTTCAAGGAGGGGTATACAGGCCATCTCCTCTCCAGGAGAGAGAAATGAGTTGGGGTGTTGAAGGACGGGTATTGAAGGAGGGGTATACAGGCCATCTCCTCTCAAGGAGAGAGAAATGAGTTGGGGTGTTGAAGGACGGGTATTGAAGGAGGGGTATACAGGTCATCTCTAGCCTACACCTGGAGACAGAAGTGAGTTTCGGAGTGGGTTGACAGAGAGTAGCAGTGTATTTCTCTGAAAGTTATGAAAGATTGGAATTGATAGGTTGTCAGTAAGTATGAATGACAGTGTGAAGTAAGGCCTGTAAGCATAAGCCAGTATCTTTGAGGTTAACTGGTAATGTACTGATGCACTGAAATGACAGTCTTAGTGTGACTTTATATTGTCTCAAACAACAGAGATCTAGGTTGGTTGTCTTAGCGGAATATCAATGATGAAATTATGGCATTTACTAAACATAATTTGGTTTTGTTTCAGCGCCAACTTGAGATTCAGAGGCAGCAAATGTTTGCAATCCAACAACAACAGCAACAACAGCAGCAACAACAACAGAAGTCATGGGGAGGACAAATGTAAGTAGTTCTCCATCTGATCAGAGTATACCTGTAGAATTGTGCAGCACCACAAGCTTTATAGTCAGACATTAATTACATTCTGTCTGAACAGCAATGTTTTGATGCTCATCCATATAATGTTCTGGTTGACTTAACACAGACCTAATTAGTAACAAGCTGTTGCAATATTGTGCTGGTTATTGTTCACAATATGCAGATCAGTAATTGGAGCTCAGTAATTGATCAGTAATTGATTGTAATCGTAAACCACTCATCAAAACTCATGCATGCAATAACAGAACACAATCATAACATTGTGCATATGAAACCGGAACAATTTACACGATCAAGACAATTGAGGAAATTTTCTGTTCAGGTACAGACATGAGTATGTTGTTTACATTGCTGTCAGGAAACTGCATCAGTTTAAAATGGTCGTCCGTGCACATTTGTCTTTTCCGGAGCAGAACTCTAAAACCGTTCAATGTTTCTTCACCAAACTTGGCACATAGATAGATCTGGTGGTGAACTGGTGCCTTTTGGTATTTTTGGATTTCTGAATAAAATAGTTTTTGGTACTGATAGATATTAGGACATCTCAGGTATCCACCAATATTGTGCTGGTTATTGTTCACAATGTGCAGATCAGTAATTGGAGCTCAGTAATTGATCAGTAATTGATTGTAATCGTAAACCACTCATCAAAACTCATGCATGCAATAACAGAACACAATCATAACATTGTGCATATGAAACCGGAACAATTTATACGATCAAGACAATTGAGGAAATTTTCTGTTCAGGTACAGACATGAGTATGTTGTTTACATTGCTGTCAGGAAACTGCATCAGTTTAAAATAATTGGTCGTCCGTGCACATTTGTCTTTTCCGGAGCAGAACTCTAAAACCGTTCAATGTTTCTTCACCAAACTTGGCACATAGATAGATCTGGTGGTGAACTGGTGCCTTTTGGTATTTTTGGATTTCTGAATAAAATAGTTTTTGCGTTTCCATGGCAACAAGTTTGACTTAGACTGAAATTGGTGGTAGTGCTCCTTTCTGGAGCAGAAGTTTGAAACCTTTCAGTACTCTCCTTCCACTTCCAGCTATATACACGCAGGTCGCAGGTACATTCATTATAATTTCTGCCAGTTTGTTGGATCCTTGAGGGTGATCAAAATGGCAATTTGTTTGTGGAAGATCAGTTGATTGCACACTTCCCACATGTCAAGAATTAACTGAGGAAGTCGTGATAAGCAGAGATAATAAAGGCACTTTTCTTATTGTATTTCGTAAAGATCTGGGTTAGAATTGATCTGAAGTAACCCATACGTGTCATAAGAGGCGATTAATGGGATCAGGTGGTCAGGCTCGCTGACTTGGTTGACACATGTCATTGTATCCCAATTGTGTAGATCGATGCCCATGCTGTTGATTACTGGATTGTCTGGTCCAGACTCGATTATTAATAGACTGCCGCCATATAGCGGGAATGTTGCTGAGTGCGGTGTAAAACTAAACTCACTCGCTCACACTCTTTTTGTATTTTGTCAAAGCACCTGTGAAGATCTGGGTTAGAATTGTTCTTCAGTAACCCATGCTTGCCATAAGAGGCGACTAACGGGACTCGATTATTTACAGACCGCCGCCATTTAGCTGGAATATTGCTGACTGCAAACTAAACTCACTCATTCACTCACTGTGCATGGACATGCCAAGGTCTGCTGTTTGTGGATTTGAATTGTATACTTAGAACCATAACAATATTCATAAGTCCATGTATAATGTACAAGATTGAATTCACCAAGTGAAAGCTTATTGACCCCGGCGGAACGTGGGACTATGTATTCAGCGGCTTCCGTACATCCGTATGTACGTCCCGATTCTTGTTAACGCGATATCTCATGAACTGTTGTACCCAATGTCTTCAAATTTGCTGACAGCCTACATTGGGGGATTTCGCAGACATCAGTTTATTTGGGTGACCTTGACCTTACCTTCAAGGTCACCACGACACTTTGAACACTTTTCAAACTCTTCTAACGTGGCATCTCATGAACTGTTGTACCCAGTGTCTTCAAATTTGGTGACAGCATACATTGGGCGATTACGCAGACACCAGTTGATTTGGGGGGACCTTGACCTTGTCTTCAAGGTCACCACAACACTTTTCACTCTTTTAACTCTTGTTAACGCAATATCTCATGGACTGTTGTACCCAATGGCTTCAAATTTGTTGACAGTTTACATTGGGTTTACATTACACAGACACCAGATTATTTGGGTGACCTTGACCTTATCTTCAAGGTCACCACGACACTTTGACTGCTTTTTAAAGGTGATATCTCATAAAACATTGCATCCAATGTTTTCAAGTATGTTGACAGTCTACATCGGGTGATTATGCAGACACCAGTCATTTCAGGCACCTTGTATGTGACCCAAAAATAAAAAGTAGTAAATATAGATATTCCATTCTTTAGTGGCGGGGGACATTGCCATATCAGTGGCAAACACTTGTTGTATTTATTAAAAAACGAACCAATCGGCATGTCGCTCCCAAAAGCGCTGTTTCGGCACGTTTTTCCTACAGGTTTTGGGGGTGAGCGTTAAGAGCTGTCGGGCCGGATACCGTCGTGTTGATGGTCAATGGATCAGTGTGCACTGGATTTTCATTCTTAGTTCTTTAGGAGTATGCAGCTTACATGTGAGATAGTGTTACCACCTCACCACCACCTAACTGCCCTGGGTCCTGTTGTTCAAAACAACCTTAGTGCTAAGGCTACCTTAAGTCAGTGTTTAAGTATGGGAGTTACGGTCACCTTAGCGCTAAGATTGCTTTGTGCGACGGCACCCTGGGGTTGTCAGCACCATACCCATTTTGGAGGGCGGCGGAGTAGTCTAGTGGTGAAAGCGTTAGCCGAAGACCGCGAGTGTGATTCCCCACATGGGTACAATGTGTAAAGTCCATTTCTGGTGTCCCCCGCATTGATATTGCTGGAAGTTATTAAAAGCGGTGTAAAACCATACTCACTCACTCACATACTCCGTACCCATTTTTGTGTGTTGAACCATACTTCCTCCTCGATCTGTCTGTTATTTCTTGACATGAGTATATGAGAGATTCTTCACACTGTTCTGCAACGCTCTGTGTTACAGGACTGTAAACCAGGCTGCTACAAACACACTGAAGTCACTGCTGGACATACAGGAGGAACAAAAAGCCAAACAGTTAGACCAAAACAAGAAGAAAGCCAAACAAGTTCAACCCACTCCGCCCAAGGTATGCAACAATACAACCCTTATGGTTCTTTGTTATCTTTGGGAGACAGATCTGAATACGTTACCATCGTCCTTATTCACAAAACATTTGTAACATTACCATCTGTCTTATTTTGATAGTTTACCATAGGCCTACGATTGTCGTAGCACTACGAAAGCTTTGTGGATCGAGCCCCAACACCAGATGCTTGACCTAAGAGACAGCTTTAATTATAATCGGCAGTGTTACCCTATGACGGTATCATGCCTTTACTGTTGACCACTTGTTTTCTGCTCAAGACTTCTTCATTTACATGTCTGTATATTACTGAGGTGAAAGAGTATTCTCTCAACCCTTTTATGTATATGCCGATATCCTTAATATACTGCTTGACTTATATCTAAGCCAAAAGTCGATCAGGATATCTGATGTTCTATTGAAATATAAACGTGACATATCATGAGAATCAGTTTTGTGTATAATGGAAAGATAAAGATATTCCTGTCAAAATTGGATGGGTATCTAACTCTTAAATTCAGATCTTCGGATAAGCTGTTCATTTAATTCAAAAGATGCTGTATAAATCACTATGACAAATTAATTTTGTCTTGCTTTCATTTAAATATATGAAAAGATAAAGTTGTACGCAACAATGTGTTGTTACAAGGTAGCCTTTACAGCTTTTGCCATTACATATCTCTACTTACTGATTTAATGCAGACTTATGAAAGAAATGTCACATCTGGCTGTTGAAAAGTAGACATGAATCTGTTTTGAACTTACGTCATGTGACCGCCTCCGTGGTGTAGTGGTTAGAGCGTCCGCCTGGAGAGCGGAAGGTCGCAGGTTCGATCACCGACCGCGTCATACCAAAAGACGTTAAAATATGGTACTTGTTGGTCCCTGTCTGGCGCTCGGCATTAATGGGTACAACAAGGACTGGTCGGCTCGGAGTCAGTATAATGTGTCTGAGTGGGGTATTCATGCTTCACTGCGGCATGGTATCTCAGTGGGCTAGCACTATAAAACCAGCTTCAGTCTGGGCTAGTACAAGCAGCCGCACATACACATACACATACACATACACATACACATGCATGCACGTCGTCATATGAGCGAAATATTCTCAAGCACGACGTTAAACCCAATTTCACCTCACCTCACCTCACTTATGTCATGTGTGTAAATAGAGTAAATATCTAAAGGAATTCCGGAGCCATGAATAATATGTTCATTACTGAAGAGAAGTTAAAAATTGTAATGAGGTCAGATTATATAGTCTCCTCTCCCCACAGAATACAGCTGCCACCATGTCTACACCCAGCATGTGGAGCAATGTGGCCAGCAACGGTGCTCAGCCCTCAGGGTGGGGAGGAAACGCTGTGTGGAAGACAGACAAGTCGGGAGGGGGACTGGGGTTCTGGGATGAAGCTGTGATATCTTCAGGAAGGCCTGCAACCAAAGAGAAAGAAAGGTTTGTTAGGAGTATCAGCAACTTCTAATGCTGAAAGAATGATACTGAATGCATTTCCCCCCACCTATTTGTTAATCCACAAATAGACCACTACATGTAATGTGAGCAAGTGTAACCTTTTATTTTTATCTGAGTCGGACATCCCATCACCAAATTTAAACTACATGTAATTAAACCTGATGAAGTTTTTAACATAACAGCACTATAAATCATGAGCAGCTTTGACAAAAATTCATGCAGGTTATTTTTGTGTGTATGTTTTAGACATGTGTATTCATTGTCAATGTTGAGTCTGACTCAAACCACTCTTTTTCAGCGGGGAGTTTCCTGCATTGGGAGGCAAGAAACGAAACCAACAGAATAATAATGCAACAACCAATGCTTCTGCAGCAGCAGTTGCTGCTGCTGCTGCAAACCGCAACAGACAGACAAAACCAAAGAAAGAGGAGGTAAGCAAAGTGTTCTCACATTATATAAGTCATGATGTCTTGAAGTGATAGAAACAGTTTTAATCTGCTTGGCCTTTAACCGAGAACATACAGCTAACCTTTAAAGAAGGAAATTTAGGTTTGTCTTTATGATAACTTAACTGTAGAGCAGTTTGGCAAGAACAGTAAGGCTAGTGCCAATTTCTGTTGCTGCACTGACTGATGGAACTTCATGCAGCAAGGCTCCAGATAATTTTTCAACATCAGGAGTACGTACTCCTTTATTTTTCAATATAGGAGTACTTACAGTTCTGAATGGAGGGGCGGTGGGGTAGCCTAGTGGTTAAAGCGTTGGCTCGTCACGCCGAAGACCCCGGTTCGATTCCCCACATGGGCACAATGTGTTAAGCCCATTTCTGGTGTCCCCCGCCGTGATATTGCTGGAATATTGCTAAAAGCGGCGCGTAAAACTAAACTCACTCAGTCAGTCAGTCAGTCTGAATGGAACTTCATGGAGTATCAGTGATCTTGTGTTTCATTTCATATATGCACCACAACATTGCTACTCTTGTGTAAAGTGTTAGAAAAACAATAAAACAAAACTTTTTCAGATAAATGCGTCTGTAAATGATTCTAAGACCGTACACCATTGCTTTGGTGTGTATCTGCTACACTTTCTAAATTATTTCCCGCCGTATCGTGCATATTTTTTATCCGTACATACGCCGATACAGATCTGGAGCCCTGGTGCAGGCTACAACCAAGTTCAACCATTATTAGCTAAAGTATAGTTCCCATATTTAGGGTTGATATCACAGAAATTTAATATATTTTGTTTGTTATATATCCATTCTGATATGACTGCCAGTATATGTATTTGTATTTGCTATGAGTAATAATTTGTGTTACAGGATACTGTACAAAAGTTGTTTCAGTCAGCACGGGCCTGTTGACGATTTCACTCAGTGGTGTGAGAAGGCACTAGCAGGACTTGCATCTTCCGTGGATGGTAAGTCGTGTAGAAACTTGCCAGTATTCACTGGGGAATGTGTGACCCAGAGTTACCTCCCTTTGTCAGACCAAGCCCCACTTATTGCAGGTCCACCTTGATCCACCATCATCCATGCTGATAATGGCTTTTACCAAGGTGGTACACATCAACTATGACTGTCCCTTGGTTCTTTTCCTCCATTTTTAAGCTGACATAACACAATTTAACTGAAATGCTGATCAAAGCGAAAAATAAGATCACACCTCACTCAGAATTTAACATGTTGACAAAAGAATTACATGTTTGTCTTTTGTTCATTTGAGGCACAGCAGACAAGACACATTCACTAGACTGTTTGTCTGACACAAGTTAAACTGGATGGGCTTGTTTATTTTCTGCCAGAGTCCAGTTACTTTACATAATCCATGCTTGTATCTCCTTAATGTGAAGGGCGGTGGGGTAGCCTACTGGTTAAAGCGTCCGCTCGACATGCTGAAGACCCGGGTTCGATTCCCCACATGGGTGCAATGTGTGAAGCCCATTTCTGGTGTCCCCTGCCGTGATATTGCTAGAATATTGCTAAAAGCGGCGTAAAACCATACTCGCTCACTCACTTACTTAATGTGAAAAGGTCTAGTGCCTGTGTATCTTGTTCCAACCCTTACTCATTTGGTTATGACTAACATCATGTTCAGAATCTGAGGTTTGAATTTTGAGAAGTGTCAATTGAACCAGACAAGAATCTCATCAGAGGTTCGTGCATTGACCAAGTTCATACAAACCTGTTGTCTTCAATAGAGGATGTGTATTATCTCATTCCCTTGTGACTCGTTTTGTTTTTAAGAACTTTTTCTTTTTCTTTTTCCAGTTCCAACATTCATTGCCTTTCTTCAAGAAGTTGATTCTCCATATGAGGTATGAATTGTGGTCCATTATCAAAAACATTGTAAAAGTAATATGTATTACGTACTGGTGTCATGGTTGGATCTGCTGATTGGATCCATCAGGCCCTGAGGGGGCGGTGAGATACCCCAAGTGGCTAAAGTGTTCCCTCGTCACCCGAAGCCTGGGTTCGATTCCCCACGTGTTCAATGTGTGAAGCCCATTTCTGGTGTCCCCTGCCATGATGTTGCTGGAATATTGCTAAAAGCGTAAAAATAAACTCGCCCATCAGGCCCTGCAGATTTCTGTATTGTGAGGAGATGATTACATGTCATCCTACCCTGATGGTGTGGATCGTTGATTTCATTAACAGTGACCAGTTTGTCCCGACTCAATTATTTACAAGTGGATTGATGCAACCGGTGTATTGAGTGTGTTAGTTAAGCAACCGAAAACAGTTAATCAGTTTAATTCTGTCCTGTTTATAACCGAAATATTATTTCGAGCAAATCAGTAATAGTTTCCAAATAGCTCCCAAAAAGAAATAAGAGCAGTTTCTCATTTAGGTAGTATTATATGATACACCCTTATATTGGTAATGTTTCTGTTTTTCAAAGAGCATTCCGGCGGTGGGGTAGCCTAGTGGTTAAAGCGTTGGCTCGTCACGCCGAAGACCTGGGTTCGAATCCCCACATGGGCACAATGTGTGAAGCCCATTTCTGGTGTCTCCTGCTGTGATATTGCTGGAATATTTCTAAAAGCGGCGTAAAACCAAACTCAGTCAGTTAGTCAAAGAGCATTCAGTTCATGAGACCCATGGTGAAGACAAGAGACTTCATTTCTTCTTTTTGGTTTTACACTCAATGCAATCTAAATAAACCAGAGTTCACTTCACACACCCTTTGAAATTTATTACCCGTGTCGCTTCCTTGAAAATGTTTAAAAATCTCTTGTACATGCTATTGTATATTTTGTATTAAAGGTACATGATTATGTGAGGTCCTACCTTGGGGAGTCTGGTGCTGCAAAGGAGTTTGGTCGGCAGTTCCTGGAGAAGCGGAGCCAGTATAAGCAGAAAGCCAGACTTGAGAGACAGCAGGAGGAGGTGGGTACCCTGCTTTTTGTTCTGACATGAGTGATCAGGGATGTATCTGATAACAGGGTGTTGTGGGTGCCCAGACTTGTAGTACTGACATCAGGGATGTATCTGATAACAGGGTGTTGTGGGTGCCCAGACTTGTAGTACTGACATCAGGGATATGTCTGATAACAGGGCGTTGTGGGTACCCAGGCTTGTAGTACTGACATCAGGGATGTGTCTGATAACAGGGTGGTGTGGGTACCCAGACTTGTAGTACTGACATCAGGGATGTGTCTGATAACAGGCTGGTGTGGGTACCCAGGCTTGTAGTACTGACATCAGGGATGTATATGATAACAGGGTGGTGTGGGTACCCAGACTTGTAGTACTGACATCAGGGATATGTCTGATAACAGAATGGTGTGGGTACCCAGACTTGTAGTACTGACATCAGGGATGTGTCTGATAACAGGGTGGTGTGGGTACCCAGACTTGTAGTACTGACATCAGGGATGTATATGATAACAGGGTGGTGTGGGTACCCAGGTTTGTAGTACTGACATCAGGGATATATGTCTGATAACAGGGTGGTGTGGGTACCCAGGCTTGTAGTACTGACATCAGGGATATATGTCTGATAACAGGGTGGTGTGGGTACCCAGGTTTGTAGTACTGACATCAGGGATATATGTCTGATAACAGGATGGTGTGGGTACCCAGACTTGTAGTACTGACATCAGGGATGTGTCTGATAACAGGGTGGTGTGGGTACCCAGACTTGTAGTACTGACATCAGGGATGTATATGATAACAGGGTGGTGTGGGTACCCAGGTTTGTAGTACTGACATCAGGGATATATGTCTGATAACAGGGTGGTGTGGGTACCCAGGCTTGTAGTACTGACATCAGGGATATGTCTGATAACAGGATGGTGTGGGTACCCAGGCTTGTAGTACTGACATCAGGGATATATGTCTGATAACAGGGTGGTGTGGGTACCCAGACTTGTAGTACTGACATCAGGGATATATGTCTGATAACAGGATGGTGTGGGTACCCAGGCTTGTAGTACTGACATCAGGGATATATGTCTGATAACAGGGTGGTGTGGGTACCCAGGTTTGTAGTACTGACATCAGGGATATATGTCTGATAACAGGATGGTGTGGGTACCCAGGCTTGTAGTACTGACATCAGGGATTATCTGATAACAGGATGGTGTGGGTACCCAGACTTGTAGTACTGATAACAGGGATGTGTCTGTAAGAGATAGGAGCTTTATCATTGTCCCCCACCCCAACGCGAAATGGGGGACAATGTATTCAGCAGCGGTCATTTGTACATCTTAATTCTTGTTAACGCGATAACTCATGAACTGTTTTACCGAAATGTCTTCAAATTTGGTGACAGCCTACATTGGGGGATTACACAGACATTAGTCGATTTGGGTGACTTTGACCTTATTTTCAAGGTCACCATGACTCTTTGACCACTGTTCAAACTTACGTAAATGCAATATCTCATAAATCGTTGAGCCCAATGTCTTCAATTATGTCGACAGCCTAGATTGGGTGATTACGCAGACACCTGTCTTTTGTGGGTGACCTTGACCTTATTTGCGGTTGGGGACATTGCCATGTTAGTGGCAAACACTTTTTTTTAGTTTTACATGACTGCTTTTGTATGTATGAATGGATGGATATCTTCAAAATAAGAACTTTCTGCTCACAAATGATATTTGGGACTTAATCTCTGTAAGAAAAAGATGTATCAGCTGTCATTGTTATGTGAAGGACAATATTTTGTCTGTAATTTACAGGACAGTATTTGGGGCCCAGCACCTGCAGTGAACCCAAAAGAAGCTCGGTCCAGCAACAACAATGACGCCGAGTCTGCAGCCCGCAACAAGAACAAGAAGAAGAAGGGCAAGATGCAGAAGATTGACAAGAGCATCCTCGGCTTCACGGTCCATGCCGACCCCACACGAGTCAACGCTGGCGAGATCGAGAACGTGGACTGAACATTGGTGCTATGAAATGTGGTCTTTCCTTTACTTCTGTTGCCAAGATTGTTGCAATGTTGGACCTGCTGTTTGCAAAGCTGGACACAGCCCAGTCAAGACTGGAGATCATATCCTCATTGCTTGTTACTTGCAAAATTGTCCTCCAGATTTCAGTCTTGGCACAGATATTGAACGAGAATGGTGACTATCTGGTGTGCTAGTATGTAGTAAATTGATTCAGATTCGTACTCCAATGCTGGTGCCTCAACAACTGATTGGCTGATGTGACTGTTCAGCAACAGACTTCTGTACCCAATGAAAGGAAATGAGGCGGACACCACTTACTATCTGCCTGTTGGTGATGGAATATGATTGGTGAATGATGGACTCAGTCAGGTTTCCTCCATCAGTGATCGGGCCATCCCAGCCAACACATAGTCCAAACCTGAAGCTAATATCTGTGATACTAGATACTATTTTCCATCGTCAGAGGGTGCTGCACTACAGGGAAAGTAACAAGGAGGAAAGAAATCTGAAGAAAGTTAATACTTGATAATATTAAAACCTCATGCACCGCTTCAGTTGCTTGATAAAATACAACATCATGCAACGATGCAGCTCGGGCCTCTTTGCCGTCATGTCACAGAGCTGGTCGGTGTCCCAAGTCAATACATTCTTTCTTCAATCTATATTGAGAAGGTGCATGTGCCTTTGTTATTTTAATGCATGTTGGTATTCTTTAGTGAAAATATTGTTCCAGAGAAAACAAGTACTTAAACAGGGTGAATTTTAAATGAATTTGCCAGAGATCACAATGTTAAGTCTCTATGGAGCCCAGGATAACCTGAATATTTTCTGTATTTCTTACCATACTTTTATTGTTATTGCATAATTATCCAAAATGGATACTTGGCTTTTATACACTCTCTCTGCTTCGGATAAGTTGACCTAAGTGAGATTTGTTGGTTTTTAATTATTATATATAATGTTACCAGTTAAACAAAATTTAGGCTTTGCTATTCAGTGAAGAATTTGTTTCGTTCAATCAAGCTGCTGTAATAGCAATAACCCGACTTAATTCAATCCCAAATATTGACTCACTTTAATGATCTAGATATTAATGTAAGAATGTTACACTCGGTCCTTGTTCAGGTGGACCTTTGTCTGCTGAATGAAATTTGGTGTTACATGAATGAAGTCCCACCAGTAGAAACTAATCACCAAAATGTGAACCTATGAATTCTGCTGCATGTTCTTATCCATTGACTCGAGCAAATTATTGTTCATAACGAAGTGGCTCTGAACGTGATGTTTAGATTTTAAAATCAGTATGAAAAGTTGCAATTTTTGTGGATGATAATGTTCATGAAAGATAAGTGAAAGCAAAGTCAATATGGAATCTGTTTAAATGAATTCTTGCTCTTTGGGCTTATAATCCATCTTGCGACCATTCTTAGTTAAATCAGTGTTCAACAGATACAATCGTCCACTTGCATGTGACAGGTAACATTGTTCAGCTCCAGTAATACAAAATACAATCATGGTTATCTCCCAGGGCAGTGGGGAATCGTAGTGCTGAAAGTGTTCGCTCATCACGCGGAAGTCCTGGGTTCGATTCCCCACATAGGTACAATGGTGTCCCTTGCTGTTATTTTTCTGGGATATTGCTAAAAGCGGCTTAAAACTAAACTTGCTCAATTATACCTTGTTTGCCATCTTCAAGGTGGAATGCCAAACTTTACTGTCAACAAGCATAACAGTGTTAAAAGCTTTATCAAATTATTGCTCTATTTGTATTACTGTGGTTTATCAGTGACACTAGACTACTCAACTTTTGGTAGGGATTATCAGGTGTGTCAGGTGTATTTATATATGTGACATGCTATGAGAATTATTTTTGTGTATCATAGAAATATGAAAATATTCCCATCAAAAGTGTAATGTCATCAGTCTGAATGCCACTCAACGATCAAAACCCAGATTATCAGGGAATTGAAAAAGCCATGAATTGTGAGCAGCTGTGGCAATTGTTGATAAAGGTTTTTCTCCAGTCAATTTGATTTTTCCAGTCAACTAATTTTGTTGGCTGTTTGGGAAAATGAAATTTGTCGAGCTCTGAAACTGGTTTAGTGCACCTGCAGTAGCAATACCAGGTAGTTGTTGAAAATAAGCAGGAAAACCAAGGCATAGGGAAGGAAAAGATTTAGGGGTCCCTTGATGTACAAGAGAAAAGTGCAAGGATCCCATAATTTCTAATACTGCTAAATATACGACTCTGTATCACCTGAAATATTTATTCACTTTGAGCTAAAATTGACATTTTCAAAACATTTATATAGAAGACTTCATATCTTAAATATTATCTTGTTGATTAATCCTAAATCATTTCATTCTACAAGCTTGGAAGTATTTGGAGCTAGTTCCTGTGCTGCCAAGTGTATAAACATGTACCATGCAGATTCCACCTCATCCATTAGCTAGAAGCAGAACCTCTGCTTTCACAACACTCCTATCTCCAACAAGGACGTTTCCAATTAAACTATGCATAATGTTCAGCATATCTTGCCTGAATTATGTCAGGATTGTATTATACTGGAGTTTAATGATATACACAATGTACATATGTCATGTTATGAACCATTAATATTGCAAGGGTTAAAAAATGTCTCTTAGTAATTTCATACAGGTTCTGTTATACAGACATGGTTGTTTCATACACAGATAGTACAAAAGCAGTTGAGGAACACCCTATTTTTGTCATTTGACGTGACTGATTAACAAACTTTGTCATTTCAATAGAAAACTGTTTTAATTAGTGAAGTTAGGGGTAACCTTTTTTAGAGGTGCGTGAAATCAGTCCAGTGACTCATCCATTGTAGTCGGCCCCACTTCTGACCCAATTTTTTTTTCCTCAGGGGCATTCCCCCTAACCTTTGGACTTCATGATTTATGTGCACACCCACTTCTCCAAAATCCTGAATCCGCCCCTGTGTTACATTAATACGATTCAGATGCTTTTGCTTTTGGTCTCAATTATAATGCATAAAACAGTTTAAACTTGGTGAACAATTAAGATCAGAAACTATATATGAGCTTCAAACTTGATGTGACTCATGCTGGCTTATCTGTGTTTGTTCTTGTGGGTCAATAACTTGCAGAGCATCAAATATTTTTTAATCCTTGCTTTGTAAACATGGTTAATGCATTGTCACACATTGTGATTTTATTTGCTAAAAGCTGGGTCTGTTTCACTGAAGTCTTAATTAAATTGGTTTCAGCTGTACCTTAGAAGTGCATAATATGTGTAAGATCACAGGTTTGGGCTATGCTAAATCAGCCCTAATGAATGTATCGACATCCTTTGTATGAGTAATGTCGGTAATGCTTTTTGCATATTTAGAGTCATGTTTTCACAGTAGAGTTGAAATACAGATGAAAGCAAGCTTTAAACAATAAGACATACATGCACTTTAACCTTCATAGGTATCGTCACCGAGTCTGGGGAACCCTCCAGCTTGATGTATACAGCAACTTGTATGGGTATTCGGTGGTCACAGTGTCAGTATGGCATTATGTAGAATCATAATTAGTGGTTTGTCACATGAGATTCTGCTGTAATACAGCTGTCATTTTGCTGGTGTGGCCTAAATCCACATTCATTGCTCTATAGCAGAAATGCCAATTGCATTTACCAGACATCAGCACGTTTCGGTTCACCAGTAACATGTCAAGTGTAAATGTCAGATTAAATAACTGTGAACATGTTGATTCTTATTTAAGGTGTAATGCTCCAAGCTGTTAATCTACATTCTTCTTCATTATTTTATGAGTTGATTGATTTCTTTCTATTTCAAAATAGCTAAGTATCCTTTTTCTGTCCATTTATATCTATGTCTGAAGATGATGTTGCTCATATTATGTAACCTTTGAAAGGCCTGCTGTAATCTTGAATTACAAATTTAATAGCTTTAGTTTAGTTCTTTAAAAGCCAGGTAACTTTTGTTATCTGTGTGAAAAAGGTTTCATTGCCCTAAACGAACAATCCAACATTAGTTGTGGCACTATGCCAAATAATCGGCACCAGTTACTTCCCCTGTTTTGCTAGTTGTCTCCCTTGCTCCATGCTGAGCTTTGTATGTTTCAATCAGTCACACATCATTTTCACTTGTCATAGACAGAGATTATGGGTTGTCTCATATTTGATGTTTGTGTTGAAACAGTGTTTCTTATGGAGTACCAATGCCTTGGATTACAGAATTCTTCCTGATCATCATTTAAAGTATCGAGTTGGTAAATGTTATCATGGTTATAAATTGCTACATTTGAACATTAGAATGGGTTGGGGTATTTTTAGGGGAAGGGGTGTTTAAGGTCATCAGATTCATATTCTGTTAGTTGCTTGAATATTTAACATCTTAAAACATTACTTGGATGATAATATTGTGTTGCAGAAAAGTGGTACAAGTCTTTGACCTGCATTGCTTTCAGCTGACATTCAGTTGACAAGTGAGCTACCACTATGAACAACATAACATCAAACTTTCTCAATTCCAATGAAGGATTTTGCTAAGGAAGAGCTTCAAGGTGTTGGTACTTCCAGGAATGTATTGAGAAAGTGTGACAAACAGATGAAAGTTACGTTAACTAACTACAGCAAGTACTTTGACTCAACCCAGAGATCAGATGTGGTTTGGTCAGCCATGCCTGTGTTTGACAATGTTATAAAACTGACCACAATTCTATATTTGTATGGATGTCATCTATTTTAGATTATTTTGTCCGAATGTGACAGAGTTTGCAGTTTGCTGTTGATATTCTGAACTTTGCATGTGTGCCTGTGTGTGAGTTAGTGAGGATGCTGAAGAAAGAGAGGCTTATGGATGCATGTTATTAGAGAGGATGGTGTATTGTCAGAATTATTGAATGTGTTGCCATGATGATTGAGCAATAAAGTGCCAATTTTTCAAATTACTTTGTTTTTGTTACTTTGTATCAATAATCAAACCAATGCCAACAGCCTGTAAACAACAGACCTCACCAGGCAGTTCAGTGCTGCTATCGTGAAAAACATGCCACACCTTCCTTTGGATGACATCAAGTCACCAAGCTTTGATTACCTGATCTGCTTTGTTGCAACTAGCGTGGTTTGCTGGAACCTATTTAAAACCAGAATCACAAGGCTAGTTCACATGGGAAGGCAGATACAGATAACAGTTTGTCTGGTGTAAACTGGATGTAGTCTCCCTCCATGGTGTATACTGGTTATATCCGCTACATCACAGTTCGTGGGGTAGTGAACAGAGCCTCAACCTACAGAGCAAAATGTCCCCGGCTCTATCACGCAAAGAGGTTTAAAGATGGTCTAGTTATTACCCAACCTGGTGTTCGACATTGGGGAATTAGTGGGCTCGATGTCAGTAACAAGTGTCGGAGTAGGGTACCTGTTTTAACCTTTGACATAGTATCTAGGTACGACATGGTAGAACTAGGACTATAATTCTCATTTAAATTGCATTATGGCGTCTTCAAGGATGTCACGACTTGAAGTTACGTTAACGAGGTATCCCAGCACACACACATGTATACGTCCTTAACGTATTTAGACTAAACCACCTTGGACATTCAGGGATATGGTGTGTGTTAGAAGTACGACCGTAGAGAATTATCCCCCACTTCAGTACAACGTCCTCGGGTACACTGCAGTCGTGGAATAGAGGAGGGGCGGATACCAAATACCGTCTCGCGGACAAGTGTATTCAACATACAAGTAGTGAAGCATGCCATTTGTTATGTAATACGTGTATCGATATGAATGTTGAGAAATCGATCATGCTGTGACAGTGAACCAGGAAGGTCTAAAGTCTGATCCGATCCCATGTCTATCCTCATTGGAGAGCATTCATTGTGCAGTACGCCCACGTGTTATCCATGCACTTTATGCATGTGCGTCTTAAGGCAACAAATACCAATGGGTGCAGTTAGGTGTGTCTTACGTCAGGACTACAATGGATACACAGACATGCTGCTCTTTCTCCAGTGGATACGTAACTGATGCAGTTGATCCTTGTATGGACATGTTAAGCATTGCACCAACGTTAATGCTTCACAAGGGACGGTGGGTTAGCGTTCGCTCATCACGCGGAAGACCCGGGTTCGATTCCCCACATGGGTATAATGTGTGAAGCCAATTTCTGGTTTCTCCCGCCGTGATATTGCTGGAATATATGGCGTAAAACTATACTCGCTCAATAATACTTCACAATTTTGGAAGTTCCACTGTTGCAGTGTGGAAGCATTTACATAAGCCAGTTTTTTGTTTGTTGCTGTTTAACGATGCACTCAGCAATATTCCAGCAATATGGCGGCGGTCTGTAAATAATCTAGTCTGGACCAGACAATCAAGTGATCAGCAACATACGGATCGATCTACGAAAATAGGATACGATGACATGTGCCAACCAAGTCAACGAGCCTGACCATTCGATCCTCTTAACGACAGGCATGGGTTACTGAAGACCAATTCTAACCCGGATCTTCACGATCACTGAAGACTATGCCTCTTGTTGTGATACCAACATCCCAGTAACTCCCCAAGTACATCTGCTGTATATAACTTTGCAGCCGTCCCCTAATGTGAGAAATAGTCGACTAGAATGCAGCCAGTTCCTATTCCCGAGGAGGCTCAACTTTGGATGAAACGAAATGAGATAAATAGCGAAAAGTCAAATAGAACAAAACCAATACTTATTCCCTTAATATAGTGGTTATTATATTTTTATATACTCTTCAAACAAAAGAAACTTAACATTGGACAATTTTGAATTTTAGAAAATTATTTGACACAAACCAATCCATGCTGAATCCCAGCATGTGGGGGGAATGGTTGCCGACGACAAAACGTTTGAAAAAAAGAAACGTTACAGTCACGTCTGTAGTGAATCGCTAAAACGCATCCTATTTGAAATGCACAAGCATCATGAAATCGTGTATCACCCTGAGCTGAAACCTATGACTGTAGGCTTTAAAAAGCTACATCAATGATACCCCACACGCATTGCTTTAAGCCACAATAGACAATAAGAGAATGACAAGACTGACAGAAGCTCAACGACACAACGCCATCGGCCGTTTACAAGAACGGACATCGCAGCATGATGTGGCAAGGCATTTCAACGTGTCCAGACAGACCATCTCAAACCTTTGGACCGGATACAAAAATACTGGTGGTGTTAATGACAGACCCAGGTCAGGTAGACTTGGAGTTACCACCGCCTCCCAGGATCGCCACATCCGGTTGAGACATTTTCGTTCAAACACCACGGCCTCATCATCCACAACAATCCAAATCCCTGGACTGCTCCGAATCCTCGACCAGGCAGTGCGCAATTGGCTAGGGGAAGTCGGACTTTTTGACAGAACACCATTTCAACGTCACGTCGTTCCCTACATCAACTTCAACGGTTGATCTTTGGAGCATGACAATGCTCGACCTCACGTTGCACGTGTGTGACAGGTCTTCCTCCAGCAGCAATGTTCAGTTGTTACCTTGGCCTCCTCTATCACCGGATTTGTACGCCATTGAACATCTATGCAATACTCTTGATCGACGCTTGCGCCAGCGTAATCCGCCACCTCAGACACTAGAAGAACTGCACACAGCACCTCGGCAAGAGTATCCAAACATTCCTCAAGACAGCATTCGGCATCTCCTTTCGTCTATGGGTCACCGCTGCTAAACTTTATCGATGCTCATGGTGGTCACACCAGATACTGACATTTTACTCTGAACAAGTGACTTTAATAGCCCTCTGTGGTTTTACCAAACACTTTCTGGATAATCAAGTTTTGGAAATTTGTAAAGTGATGATTATACTGTAACTGAGCAATGATGTCATGTTTGAATCAGTTAGATTCACTCAGTAAGTAAACTCCAAAACACCAAGTTTCTTTTTTTTTGAAGAGTATATTTTGTCTCATACTTAGTTCAGCATTTAGTTTGGTTTTCCAGTGAAGTGTATTCTTTTTCATCTTTATTTCTATCTGTTCCCACATTTAATAAAGTTATTTTCGAACAATTCAGGAAAATATAATTGTTGTGGCCATTTAGATACAAATTCTTTCCTTCGGCGGTTTGGTCAGGGTGTTGAATCAGTTTATTTTTGCATGAATTGTAATATTTCTATTCTTTCATGTTATGTTCACATTTGAAGTTTAAGTTTTATTTTAACGTATTTTAAATATTCCACATATGTTTTAACATCCGTCTACACGATGCAATGCTATTGGGTTAAGTAAATCATGCTGGAAGGAAAGGTAAATTGTCATGTCAGAGTTATCGCCCCTTTCATTCGCGTAGCCATTGAAAAAAGACAAAGTACCCCAAGGTGTCCAGCCAGGAATCATAACAAAACGTCAGGGCATGATGCAGCGGGCACTACTACGGTTAACGAAACGGGCGAGATTGTTTTCGCTGAGATACTGGTGACAGTTAATCAGCAATATACATTAACAATGAGGAGTTCCATGGTATGAGGGGCGGTGGGGTAGCCTAGTGGTTAAAGCGTTGGCTCGTCACGCCATAGACCTGGGTTCGAATCCCACATGGGTACAATGTGTGAAGCCCATTTCTGGGGTCCCCCGCCGTGATGTTGCTGGAATATTGCTAAAAGCGGCGTAAAACCAAACTCTGTCAGTCAGTCCATGGTATGCAGATCACGCACGCACGCACGCACGCACGCACGCACGCACGCACAAACATAATTTCGTTTTGGACCTGGGGATTAAATTTTCAATATCCTCATAACCACCGTACCTGATCTGAATATTTATTACATTCTTGTCTTGCATATATTTCCCTGCTATAAATATTGAAATAAACATAACCGAGTGTTGCTCAATTTCTGTGTAGTATACCTGTTCTATTTTCGTCACCTTACGACATTTAACCCAACTTCCTTTATAAGACGCCATAACAATTACGCGTAATACCCATAGATCTACGCAGTTTATCAATTCAATAGACCGTCTTATAAGTCTGTGTATGGGTTGTCTCCCTTAGATGCAGCTGCGACTAAAAATAGTTTTTCTAAATATAGACAACCAGAGGTCTGGTATATATTGTGTTATTGGCGACTCGTTCAGGACACTTGACAACATTGACGGGGATAGAGTCACGTTGCTTGAACATTGACAGGATTACATTGAACATAGCAGGAAAGGTAAGAGGTGTTATAAAACTTATAATGTATGAATACGATATATAGATTTATAATCCACCCAAACCTAAACTAAAAAGCGAGTGAATCACTTTGAAACGAAAGAAGATAGCAAATGTAGAAAAGTCCCCCAGTTAATGAAATATTAAGTTTTGAAATTTTAATTTTTGTCTCTCATGTCTGTCTTGGAAGTGATAAACGTTAGTCAAGGAACACGCGTTTAAAGTATTGAATTTCTTGATAAAGGCATTTGAAAGGAGTTTGGATCTTATGAATAATGATATTCAGTGTATTCATATCGAACCCGTTTTTGAATACAGGGATACACGACGACATTGACTTGTGACAATTGAGGTTATGTGGTTCGAACACATGGGTAGAATGGATGACATTTACCCCCCGAAATATCACTGTGCCCTTTCGTGATATAGCCTCACTGTCTGTCGAACACACGCACGGCAGATTAGCTGGAACATGTGAAGACGGCTTCCACTGCACATCTACGTAATCTTAGCATTGCAGCTGTAAATATTTTGTTAACTGGCTGAGCGAGGGAGTGATTTAACGTCAAATTGACAATAGCTGACATTTCAGACAGACCTCGTGTCTGTCACAGAACTCCCTTAGAAGCTGCGTATGTGTCATGGATAAAAGCATGAATTAAAAGTAATCAAGATACAATTATAATCCTAGTTTGTATATACATTAACGATACTATTATTATTGTTTTATGTATAATATCCTTAAAACAACGACAATAAATACATGACGCGTTGTATCATGGATAAAAACCTCTTTTTAACTGATGAAGGAGCAAATATTAGCTTTGAAACGTCGTATATATATATATATATATGTACACACACACACACACATATATATATATATATATATATGCATATATAATGGTTTATTTTAATGAGTTAAGTTTTACGCCGCACTCAAAGTCGTATAAAGAATAAAAAGACGTTATCCATAAAACGTGTCATGTATACATGTTCGTCCAACTTCTAAATGCCTTACAGCAACTTCAAATGACAATAAACATCCACAGTATTGAGATGTTAGTAAGTAAAACACATGGTACAAGCAAGCTGCAGTACAAATCACGCTTAAACAAGTTTATTACTTCTACAATATAGTATAAACAAAATACATATGTTTAACCGCCGGCTGTAACTTGTGTTTTTGTACTTTAATCAGCTATGCAATAATACGGGTGATGTGATCTAATGTTATCTCATAAACGAGGCGGGGCGGTGGGGTAGCCTAGTGGTTAAAGCGTCCGCTCGTCACGCGGAAGACCCGGGTTCGAATCCCCACATGGGCACCATGTGTGAAGCCCATTTCCTGTGTCCCCCGTCGTGATATTGCTGGAATATTGCTAAAAGCGGCGGAAAGCTGTACTCATACACACGCTCATAAACGAGGCAGGTAAGTTACACATGATTCATACAAATCGTTAATTCTATTTTGTACATTACTGTAATACAGATGACAAGTGACAAATCATTAAAATGTGGCAGTATACGGGGGCACTATCTAGACGCCCATTTCTGGTGACCCCCGCCGTGATATTGGCGGAATATGGCTAAAACTAAACTCACTCAATTTCTAGACATCCTGTTTTGCAGGAACGCAGATTCAGCCTCCGAAAAGACGAAGGAACCTTTGTAGTGAGTGAGAGAATGAGTGTGTTTAAAACGTTCAGCAAAGGTCAGCAGCCTTTTATGTTAACTTAAAAAATGCATTTGTCCAGCAAATTATACAAAGAGTTAATAGCTGAAAACGTTGTATTTGACGAAACCCAGCAAAATTCAGCTCAAAAGGCCCAAAACTCAACTACACCACCAAAGGTGCAGTGGGATAGCGTTCTCTCGTCATGTTGAAGACCCAGGTTCAATTCCCTACACACATGGGTGATATTGCTGGGATATTGCTAAAAGCAGCGTAAAAGCATACTCACTCACTCACTTGTCACCATCAAACATGGACTGTGTACCTTTTTAGTCGGGTACTATATATGAAGGACTTATGATAATGGTGTCTGTACAAGACAAGAAGCATTCCTGCTATCAAGCCTCCACAGCAACGTAAGGACTGACTGACTGAGTTTGGTTTTACGCCGCTTTTAGCAATATTCCAGCAACATCACAGCGTGGAACACCAGAAATTGGCTTCACACATTGTATCCATGTAGGGATTCGAACCCGGGTCTTCGGCGTGACGAGCCAACGCTTTAATTTAGGCTACCCACCGCCCTCAACGTAAGGAAGAGTGAGAACAATAGAAGCGATATTAATTGTAAGGATGTGTACATCAAACAGATGTTTCCACGGTAATGTCGGTTAAGACTTTGCAGGGTTTTTGGGGGTTTTTTATGGGTTTTTTCTTTTGTTTTTGTTTTTTATTTGTTTAACACCATCCTCAGTAACGCTTCTTCCTAGATGACGTCGGTCTGTAAACAGTCGAGTCTCCAACTGGGCCCATTTGCACAAAGCGATCTTAGCTCTACGACTAGTAAAGGAGTGATGATCACCGTAGCACTAAGATCCCTTTGTGCAAGTTGGCCCAGACATAAAAGTAACATGTGTTCGTATGTGATTAGCATAATATTTTTGTGATGAATCACCTTTAACCCTAAAGAATATTTGACTAGTTGGGAGTTTTTATTTCAGCCTGGGCATGGGGCGGTGGGGTAGCCTAGTGGTTAAAGCGTTCGCTCGTCACGCCATTGGGTACAATGTGTGAAGCCCATTTCTGGCGTCCCCCGCTGTGATATTGCAGGAATATTGCTAAAAGCGGCGTAAAACCATACTCACTCACACACAACTTCAGCCTGGTTCCCTTGGTATGCTGCGCCAGCGCTACCCTGTGTACAGCTATCGCAGTAAACCGAGAACCGGTCTATTCTTCACTAAGCTCGCATTGATAATAGCATAGGCTATTTTTTGTTTTTAAGTTTTGTTTCGCTGGTCTCTGGCACCGACTAAATACAAATTAGAGTGAAAATTTCAGTAAAAACAACAAAATAAACCCACCCACCCCAAAGTAGTGAGTAGTGTATATTTACTGACTAACGACAACGCATAGGCAAACCTGGAACCGTACGATGCGCAAACAAAAAAGAAACCCTCCACCCCATTCCACCCCACCAACACCAAAACAATATGTAAGTAAGTTTTGTATTGTTTGCGGCTGTTGGTATGACACGTGTCCCTCATTAGCACTTCATTCAGTGTGTGACAAACCAGGTATGTGTTACCTTAACAAGAAGAGGAAATGTACACATTACCATGGTAACAAGGTGCAGTTTTTGAGTTAATCGAAAGTTCTGCTTGGTATTTAATTTCCTTTCCATTACGTATTTCACAGTTGTCACTGCACGACATTGACACTTGAGGGAAACTGTGACTTATAGTTCGCTTGTACCAAGAATCACGACCACCACATTCTTGCTCTTCACAGTCTTTGTGCCTTTCGTGTCGGAGTTTTCCTTTATCACGTAAGTAATAGTCATATTCAGGTTTCTATTTGGGTGAAATGTCAGCTGCTTATTGTCGTAAATTTCCTACACAGAATTCTATTGGGGTGAAATATCAGCTGCTTATTGTCGTAAATTTCCTACACAAAATTCTATTGGGGTGAAATATCAGCTGCTTATTGTCGTAAATTTCCTACACAAAATTCTATTGGGGTGAAATATCAGCTGCTTATTGTCGTAAATTTCCTACACAGAATTCTATTGGGGTGAAATATCAGCTGCTTATTGTCGTAAATTTCCTACACAGAATTCTATTGGGGTGAAATATCAGCTGCTTATTGTCGTAAATTTCCTACACAGAATTCTATTGGGGTGAAATATCAGCTGCTTATTGTCGTAAATTTCCTACACAGAATTCTATTGGGGTGAAATATTAGCTGCTTATTGTCGTAAATTTCCTACACAGAATTCTATTGGGGTGAAATATCAGCTGCTTATTGTCGTAAATTTCCTACACAGAATTCTATTGGGGTGAAATATCAGCTGCTTATTGTCGTAAATTTCCTAAACAGAATTCTTAACTCGTGTCGTTTTGTCTGATGACATACGGCACTACTGACTTGATGATACTACTTTATAACTCCGCTGTGGTAGGTACTGGTTTGTTTCTAGTCGACTTTACAGTATTTATCTCGTTCGTTATATCCGACGTTCAGGGCAACTCGGGAATAACTATTGGTCTTTGTTCTTTGCGACTATTCCTCATCCATCTCAGTTCGTTATAACCGACATGCATCGCAGTTCGTTACAACCGAAGTTCAGCCCAACTCGGTAATAAATATCGTTTTTTGTTCTTGGCGACTATTCCTCATTCATCTCAGTTCGTTACAACCGAAGTTCAGCCCAACTCGGGAATAAATATCGGCCTTAGCGATTATTCCCCAGTTAATGTCATGCAGTTAAGCAACACTTTGTCAACACGTCACTGGCTTGTTAATGTATATAATGTACTTCATCGCGATGGCGTTTTAACGACAGATCAATGTTCAACTTACACCCTTTCTGATTAACTAAACCAGGGCCCCGTTTCACAAAGCTATCGTAGCGCTACGACTGTCGTAAGTCTATGGTGCGGTTTAGGAGGTACGACAGTCGTAGCGCTATGATAACTTTGTGAAACGGGGCCTATTTAAAAAAAGCAGTGCCTTTTTTGTGCACCCATCGTAGTCCTGGCGATAGACACGCCTTACAGCCATTAGCGTAGACAGGTGATTTCACGGATGTGTTAAGTGGTATGTGAGTCTGTGTGAGGTAAAGTGGCTATTTTCAGTGTGTTACATTTGACCTATTGAAGTTGGTCAAGTTAAAAGAAAGGTTATTGCCTATACAACGTTAAGCCTATTCCCGTTTGTGTGAGTAGACCTGTTTTTCAGCAACACCCCATGCTTATGCTTCGGGTTTCATAATGGACGGGGCGTTTGTTCTACTAAACTATAATCGCCTTCAGCTGGGGATGGCA